GTGTGTGTTAATACACACATTTTGGCTAGAAAAAAATAAAAAATTTATAATATTTTTTTGTGTGTGTTAATACACATATCTTAACAAGAAACTTTTTTAAAAAAACTTGAAAATCTTGTGTGTGTGTTAATATAAATTTCTTGACAAGTAAATAAAAAAAACTCAAAAATTTAACATTTTTTTGTGTGTTTGTTAATACACACATCTTGACAAGAAATTAAAAAAATTATTCTGGCAAACTTAAGAATGAAAAATTCACATAAAGAAACTCGAAAATTTAACATTTTCTTGTGTGTGTGTTAATACACACATCTTAGTAAGAAAATTAAAAAAACTTCCAAATTTAATATTGTTGTGTGTGTGTGTTAATACACATATCTTGACAAGAAAATTAAAAAAACTTCGAAAATATAACATTTCTTGTGTGTGTGTTAATACACACATCTTGGCAACAAAATAAATAAACTTCATAATTTAATATTTTGTGTGTATGTGTTAATACACATATCTTAACAAGAAGATAAAAAAAACCTCAAAATATAACATTTTCTTGTGTGTGTGTTAATACATATATTTTGGCAAAAAAATTTAAAATTCGCAAATTTAACAATTTGTGTGTGTGTTAATACACACATCTTGGCAAGATAATAAAAAAAACTTCAAAAATTAATATTTTGTGTGTGTGTGTTAGTACATATATATTGATAAGAAAATTAAAAAAAAACACAAAAATCTAACATTTTTTTTGTGTATGTTAATATACACATCTTGGCAAGAAAATTAAAAAACTCGAAAATTTAATATTTTCTTGTGTTTGTGTTAATACACACATCTTGGCAACAAAATAGATAAACTTCATAATTTAATATTTTGTGTGTATGTGTTAATACACATATTTTGACAAGAAGATAAAAAAAAACCTCAAAAATATAACATTTTCTTGTGTGTGTTAATACATATATTTTGGCAAAAAAATTTAAAATTCGCAAATTTAACAATTTGTGTGTGTGTTAATACACACATCTTGGCAAGATAATAAAAAAAACTTCAAAAATTAACATTTTGTGTGTGTGTGTTAGTACACATATATTGACAAGAAAATTACAAAAAAACTCAAAAATCTAACATTTTTTTGTGTATGTTAATATACATATCTTGGCAAAAAAATTAAAAAACTCGAAAATTTAATATTTTCTTGTGTTTGTGTTAATACACTCATTTTGGCAAGAAAATTAAAAAAACTCAAAAATTTAACATTTTCTTATGTGTGTTAGTACACACATATTGGCAAGAAGATAAAAAAACTACAAAATTTGGTATTTTTCTTGTGTGTGTTAGTACACACATCTTAGAAAGAAAATTAAAAAATTATAAAAATTTAACATTTTGTGAGTGTGTGATAGTACGCATATATGCGAAAAAAATTAAAAAAAACTTAAAAATTTAATATTTTCTTATGTGTGTTAATACACACTTCTTGTCCAGAAAATTACAAAACTCGAAAATTTATCATTTTTGTGTGTGTGATAGAAGACATATACTCACAAAAAAATTTAAAAAAGGTCAAAAATTTAAGATTTTCTTGTGTGTGTAATTTAAGATTTTCTTTTGTGTGTGTGTGTGTGTGTGTGTGTGTGTGTGTGTGTGTGTGTGTGTGTGTGTGTGTGTGTGTGTGTGTGTGTGTGTGTGTGTGTGTGTGTGTGTGTGTGTGTGTGTGTGTGTGTGTGTGTGTGTGTGTGTGTGTGTGTGTGTGTGTGTGTGTGTGTGTGTGTGTGTGTGTGTGTGTGTGTGTGTGTGTGTGTGTGTGTGTGTGTGTGTGTGTGTGTGTGTGTGTGTGTGTGTGTGTGTGTGTGTGTGTGTGTGTGTGTGTGTGTGTGTGTGTGTGTGTGTGTGTGTGTGTGTGTGTGTGTGTGTGTGTGTGTGTGTGTGTGTGTGTGTGTGTGTGTGTGTGTGTGTGTGTGTGTGTGTGTGTGTGTGTGTGTGTGTGTGTGTGTGTGTGTGTGTGTGTGTGTGTGTGTGTGTGTGTGTGTGTGTGTGTGTGTGTGTGTGTGTGTGTGTGTTAATACACACAAGAAAATAAAAAAACTACAAAATATAGTATTTTTTGTGTGTGTGTTAATACACATATCTTGACAAAAAAATTAAAAAAAACTCAAAAATTTAACATTTTGTTGTGTGTGTTAGTACACACATCTTGGCAAGAAAATTAAAAAACTCAAAAATTTAACATTTTTTGGTGTGTGATAGTACACATATATATACACAAAAAAATTAACAAAAACTCGAAAATTTAACATTTTTGTGTGTGTGTGTTAATACAAACATCTTGACAAGAAAATTAAAAAAAAATTCAAAAGTATAACATTTTCTAGTGTGTGTTAATACACACATCTTGGCAAGAAAAATTAAGAAATTCGTAATATTTTTTTTGTGTGTGTTATTACACATATGAAAATTATAAAACAAAATTCGAAAATTTAACATTTTCTTGTGTGTGTGTGTTAATATACATTTCTTGACAAGTAAATTAAAAAAAAACTCAAAAATTTAACATTTTCTTGTGTGTTTGATAATACACACATCTTGACAAAAAAATAAAAAAATTAGTTGTGCAAACTTAAGAAGGTAAAATTCACAGAAAGAAACTCGAAAATTTAACATTTTCTTGTGTGTGTGTTAATATACACATCTTAGTAATAAAATTTAAAAAACTTCCAAATTTAATATTTTTGTGTTTGTGTGTGTTAATACACATATATTCACAAGAAAATTAAAAATAAAACTCAAAAATCTAACATTTTCTTGTGTGTGTGTTAATACACACATCTTGGCAACAAAATAAATAAACTTCAAAATTTAATATTTTGTGTGTGTGTTAATACACATATCTTGACAAAAAAATTAAAAAAAACTCAAAAATTTAACATTTTGTTGTGTGTGTTAGTACACACATCTTGGCAAGAAAATTAAAAAACTCAAAAATTTAACATTTTTTGGTGTGTGATAGTACACATATATATACACAAAAAAATTAACAAAAACTCGAAAATTTAACATTTTTGTGTGTGTGTTAATACAAACATCTTGACAAGAAAATTAAAAAAAAATTCAAAAGTATAACATTTTCTAGTGTGTGTTAATACACACATCTTGGCAAAAAAAATTAAGAAATTCGTAATATTTTTTTTGTGTGTGTTATTACACATATGAAAATTATAAAACAAAATTCGAAAATTTAACATTTTCTTGTGTGTGTGTGTTAATATACATTTCTTGACAAGTAAATTAAAAAAAAACTCAAAAATTTAACATTTTCTTGTGTGTTTGATAATACACACATCTTGACAGGAAAATAAAAAAATTAGTTGTGCAAACTTAAGAAGGTAAAATTCACAGAAAGAAACTCGAAAATTTAACATTTTCTTGTGTGTGTGTTAATATACACATCTTAGTAATAAAATTTAAAAAACTTCCAAATTTAATATTTTTATGTTTGTGTGTGTTAATACACATATATTCACAAGAAAATTAAAAATAAAACTCAAAAATCTAACATTTTCTTGTGTGTGTGTTAATACACACATCTTGGCAACAAAATAAATAAACTTCAAAATTTAATATTTTGTGTGTGTGTTAATACACATATCTTGACAAAAAGATTAAAAAAACCTCGAAAATATAATATTTTCTTGTGTGTGTGTTAATATACACATCTTGGCAACAAAATAAATAAACTTTAAAATTTAATATTTTGTGTGTGTGTTAATACACATATCTTCACAAGAAGATAAAAAAAACCTCAAAAATATAACATTTTCTTGTGTGTGTTAATACACATATTTGGCAAGAAAATTTTCAAATTCGCAAATTTAACAATTTGTGTGTGTGTGTGTGTGTGTGTTAATACACACATCTTGGCAAGAAAATTAAAAAAAATCTTCAAAATTTAACATTTTTTGTGTGTGTGTTAGAACACATATCTTGACAAGAAAATAATAAAAAAAAACTCAAAAATTTAATATTTTCTTATGTATGTTAATATACATATTTTGGCAAGAAAATTAAAAAACTCAAAAATTTAACATTTTGTGTGTGTGTGTGTGTGTGTGTGTGTGTGTGTGTGTGTAAAAAAAAAACTTAAAAATTTAACATTTTCTTGTGTGTGTTAATACACACATCTTGGCAAGAAAATTAAAAAAACTCAAAAATTTAACATTTTCTTGTGTGTTAATACACATCTTGGCAAGAAAATTAAAAAAACTCAAAAATTTAACATTTTCTTATGTGTGTTAGTACACACATATTGGGAAGAAAATAAAAAAACTACAAAATTTAGTATTTTTTATGTGTGTGTTAATACATATATCTTGACAACAAAATTAAAAAAAACTCAAAAATTTAACATTTTCTTTTGTGTGTTAGTACACACATCTTGGCAAGAAAATTAAAAAACTCAAAAATTTAACATTTTTTGGGTGTGTGATAGTACACATATATTCACAAAATATTAAAAAAAAAACTCAAAAATTTAATATTTTTTTGTGTGTTAATACACACTTCTTGGCAAAAAAATTAAAAAAATCAAAAATTTAACTTTTTTGTGTGTGTGATAGAAGACATATTCACAAGAAAATTTAAAAAAAAACTCAAAAATTTTATATTTTACTGTGTGTGTTAATACACACATCTTGGCAAGAAAATTAAAAAACTCGAAAAGTAGAACACTTCAATTCGTGATGAATATGAGTCATGAGTTTGTGTTGTCGATATCTGTGTGCATTGGTCCAGTTAGCTCTTTTCTGTATCAGAGGAATAATTTGTTTTGACGTGATGGATGTGAAAACCATATTACATTCGTTGCCAACATAAGGGTTGGGACATGAACTATGGGGATGAATCATAAACACTTATTGATTGCCTTGGCGTAGTTATTATATCATAATCACATCAATTAACCTTTTTCTCATATCGATTGCAAGCTCTGACTTCATCTTTAATAGGCCATTTTGAAAAGCTATGTGGTGGGTGGATCAGACACTGGCAATCCAGAAAAATTTCTGGCGTACATGGTTCCTTCCTTGGATGAGGTAGACATGCTTCGCTCCGAGTTGATATCTCTAAACAAGTCTTGACAAGTCAAGAAATAGTCCGATTTGATTGATATCAGTTTTGTTTCTGTTGCTGTGCCAGTTGTCCAAGGATATGCATGATGAAAACGAGGATATCTCTTACACTTGGGTTCACGAATACAACTGGGATGTATGTACTGTAGGCAATGTGATTGGAGTACAGTTTTGATTGTTTGGGTTGCAGATCGAAATAAATATGCTACATCATGTTATAACAGGTAGGTGGCGATGATGCAAACGATCGTGGCACATACCTAGTATCATTCGACGATGGGACTACTAGTTATCTGGTATTCTCTGAACTATACCTACATCTGTTTTGTTACATATTCCAGTTTCTATCTGTAATACTAAGAAATGACCCTCCAGCCCCTACTCACAAAGCTCAACTTGAGGAAGAGAAGAGCCAGGGAAAGGAAGATCTTCTGATGAGGTTGAACAATTTCCGGTATCTTCAAGGGTGACTGTAAGGCGCAGATCGGCTGTATCAGTGATTAAACATAAAGATTCCGGGGTATAGTAAGACTTAGTTCATACATTTGGCCTTTAGAAGAGTAACACAAGAAGTATGTGTGAAACATTCTACTTCTCTTGCCAATTTCTTTGGGCTTTGGATGTAGGTTTATACAAATTCTAGGGTTGGTGCTTCGAGCTCCAAGATGAGAAGGTTAGAGGACGAAGAAGGCCTTGGTAGATCTTGGAAACACGAGCCGGAACAAGATACCAATCAATATAGCGATCGTAATGAGGATGATTATTCTGAATGAATGTGTGCCTTTTTATGGTGTACTTCAAACTATTCATTCTGTTTTCCAATTGTGTGTAAAGTATATCCTGCAAGGCTACTTGTATGTTAGGAAAATATTAGTTAAGATCAGGGTTAGGGCATTTGCAGGACAGATCAGGGTTAGGACAGATCAGGGTTAGGACATTTGCAGGATTTAGGGCAGATCAGGGTTAGGGCAGATCTTAGGGTTTAGGGTTTAGGGCATTTCATTTTGAAATGAATTGATTTTATGTACTACAACTATATTATACAGTGTAGGCGAAAAAAAACTCGATTTATTTTAGAATATTTTTATAAGAAAATATAACCTCTAATTAAGACAAAAGATATGATCTACCATAAACCCTGATCTGCCCTAACCCTGATCTGCCCTAAACCCTGTAAATGCCCTAACCTGATCTGCCCCCCCCCCTGCAAATGCCCTAAACCCTGATCTGCCTTAACCATCTGCCCTAAACCCTACCCTGATCTGCCCTAAACCCTGCAAATGTCTTAACCCTGCCCTAAACCATGATCTGCCCTAAACTCTGCAAATGCCCTAACCCTGATCTGCCCCTGATCTGCCCTAACCCTGATCTGCCCTATCATACTCACGTATCTTGGTTATATATATTTAATTTGTAACTTTTATTTAATTTGTTTGGTGGTGTTTAGATCTTCAGTCTCTTCTTTATACGTGTTTCTGTGTTTTAGATTATTGTAAAAAAAATCAGAATTTAAGTATCAGATTCCACAAAGAAAAAGAAAGAAAAAAAAAACGACACAACCAAAATTAAATACGAGCAAAACTTTAATCTACATCCAAATCTAAAACACAGAAATACGTATAAAGAAGAGACTGGAGATCTAAACACTAAAGAAAAAGAACTGGGATATTGGGATCTAAAACACACACGTTTATTTAATGATAAAAAATTAGTTAATCATGTAATTGTTATTTTGTTCGTTTCTGTATTTCGGATGTTGATATTATATATATATAAAAAACATTAGTCTAAATAGTTGATTGAGACTAGTTTGAAAATGACTAATTTATGGCGTGGCCTTGGCTTACACGACAGGGTGTGGGGATAAATCTCTATTATGAGGATGAAGATGCGACGTGCCGTTTTTGTTGCAATTGTCTTGCTGTTGAGTGTCTCCATACGACAACGACTCAACGGCTAGCTTATGGAGACCTAATTCCCGTTCATGTTAATTGAATTGGAGTTTAAACTAACATATCTATTTAATGTAGTTAAATTTCGCTTTTAACTTTTATTTAATTTGTCCGAGAAGTATATTTTACTCTAGTCAGGTGTATCGAATTTGTTTGGTGGAATTTAATACTTTATATAATTGATACTAAAAGGTCCGTAAGATGTCTGTCTTATGTAGATGATTGTTCTTAATTATTTGAAACCACTTGGTTAAATAAATATTTCTTTTTTTCCAACGCAATTTTATTGTTGGTTAATAAAGACCAACTTTAATCATAGAAAGATCATGCATCGGATATAATTGGATGCATCATGTACACTTAACGGATAAAGAGATTAGTGTTTTTGACTTAAAAGCTAAAACATTTTTGACGGGAAAAGGTTTAAAAGGTTAGGGTGTGATTATCCAAAGTCACACACATGTATCTCGCGCCTCACCGGAAACTGTCGGTCGTGTACAGAAAGCGCGTGCCTCGTACTCGTGGGTCAAAAAAAAGCTCGTCCTTTGGGAGCGTCCAAAAGCCACACGATCCGAGTAACGTTTACTTTTTACCAACATGAAAAATAAAAATGAGCAATGTATATATTTTGTCTTTTTTCGTAATATCTAATATATTTATTGAATAATGTATGTACATTACATAGTTGAAGGAAATTATTTTTTAGGGATATATTTCCAAAATCTTATTCTATGTTATCTTTTTTGTTTTTTCTTCATGGGTTGACGACTCCCCAAAAAAAATAGACACTCTTCATGGGATTATTTACTATTTTCCATTAGGTTACTAGACTTTGTCCGAACATGAAAAGAACAATAAGAAAATTATTATACCTGCCGCTGAAAATTTTCCAAAAAAAAAACTTCACTTTATTCTATAATTAGATTTGATGAAATATCTTGAACTTATTTCACAAAAACTGGCCGAACGAGTTGTTGACAGATACATAGACTGACTATTTGGTGAAGCCAGATATATGTCATTTCTAGTAGATAGATGTGAAACACCTACACACATCAGTCATACAAAATCTGATCTGATAACCCAAGTATATTCACCAGATTCTGATATCTATTGAAAAACTATGCATTTGCGTACAACGACAAAAACTCGATCTAAGTTCAACTCTTTGAAGTGATATGAGCTCTTTTTTTTTTTGTTGGTTCATAAAAAATTATAACCTGAGAGGTGCAATAAATAGAATATGTAAGAAAACCCATTAGAGGGTACCACTTACATCCCTGTCAAGAAGAAAGGAATAACGCAACGAACAGATAAACATGAATCTCCTTATAAGACTTTCAACCATTTTTTTTTTCAACCAGTCTCAGTCGATTATAATGGGACTTACCGACATACAGTAATTAGTTTCATCGGAGTATTAATTACCCTTACCACAAGACCGATGTTCATTTGTAAAATGTTTAGTGGGTAAAATTATTCCCATTTGCAGAAAAATAAGAAAAGGAAAATATTTTCTAGAAAAAGAACGCCAATTATGAAGACAACTTTAAAGTATAAGATAAAAAGAAACCAAGTAATATTTTCATTTCATGTTAACGGTAAACGCTTTTCAATTAATTGTCTATTTTTAAAGTACATTTATCAAAAGAACAAAAATAAAAATTATTTATAAAGGCATTTGGAGTGGGGATACATCGAAAGTTTGTTGATATAAATACAGGGAAAACGAAGTGAGAGAGTTCAAGAAAATAAATATCTTAAAAAAAAAAACAGAGAATCATGGTGATAAAAAGGATAGAACTGTGTATAGAGCTTATGAAGATAGGTATGGAGTTCGTCGTAGTGGTGGCTGAAGCCGTCCAGGTTGCATGGCGGCAACACCTCAACCACCGTACTCCTCTGCCTCCTCCACCTCTCCTCCGCCATGGCATCTCCCCTTCTTACCCTTCTCCATTCCTCTTTGGTTTTCTCCCTTGAAAAATCTTTTTTTCTTCTTCTTTTTATGAAATTATTTTGCTTCTTTCTCTTCTTTTTGTGTTATAGATATTTTGTTGATTTCTTGTAACTCTGTAAATTATTTTGCTGTCTTTTTTTTCAATTAGTTTTGCAGTTTTCTGTCGACTTTTTTTTCTTCTTGATCCCCATTTTTTGGGCCTATCTCTACTCTAGCAAACAATTTGCAGAATGAATAAAATAATCAAGTACGCAAATTGGTTGAAGAAGAGTTCAATCCCTAATAATAGTAATAATAATTGTAGAATAAGACGTGCAGCGGAAACAATTGTGTTCAAACCATCTACTATGTTTCTTCATAATGTTATTTAAGTAGTTCACGGCAAGTTATCCAATTAATTATTATATCAAATTCTGGATTAGTCTTGGGAAATGCTTTGGGATTCTTGGTTTGAAGTTTGAACCTGGACTCTTTCATGTCATTGGTTCGTTATATCGCTAATGTATACCTCCATCATGGGTAAACTATAGGATTAGCGCAAATGACTTAATAAGGGTACTCTTATTTATCTCACAGAAATAATATCTCCGTCGAAGCTTTTCATGATTAAGGATATTGTATTATATATATTTTTCACATATACAGTAAAAATAATGTTGGGCGACCTTCCATTATCATAATATATACCTCTTTCACCGTGAGAAAATATATGAACGTAATAATTACATACAAATGATTTGTAACAAATTCAAGTTCATACTTCATAGTATGTCATGGAAAATAAATTATAGGTTCATTCAGCCCTTTCTTACCATGATATATACAGCAGACAGAAAATGTTTGTACTTTGTACTTAAGATATATCGTCACGGATGATACGTTTATACTTTGTACTTTGTGGTCTGTAGGTTCATTCATCTTTTCACCGCCTAATTTTGAACCCGTGAAGAAATTCCTATTACACCACTACACTACGGTCTGTATTGTGTTATGTGAAAAGAAAGAAAAAAAAAGTGTAACGATTAAAGTTTAGTGTTATAGGATAACATTTCCACGATAAGTGTGTTTAACAAAGCAATGGAGTTAGGTGCAGTACGATTTATTGGAAAGTGAATTTTCAATAATGCGCGATTAAGGCAAAAACTCGTATATATTTTTCATGGCTAGTCCGGGAAGTTTCTGTGAGTAGTGAATCGGACCAAACGGTCATCCGTGACCGTGATCGGTCGAAAAAGTAAAAGTTGAGAATGAGTGGTGAGACACGGAAGTCCATAACTAACTACTGGTCAGGGTTATAAAGTATGAACACACCGCAATGATAACATTCTTCGTCCATGAATACAAAGGTAATGTTCAGAATATCATAAATTAATTGACGCAATTTTATAACACCAATAAGGGCACCAGTATTGGAGAGATTTAGTAAGACTCTAAAGAAAAAAAAAAAGAAAAAAAAAAAATGACATAGCGAGATGAAAAAGTAGAGTTGTTTCTCTGTAAAGGGGTGGAAGGAGCGCTTCTTTATAACGTGGCGAAATATAATTTGTTAAAAAAAAATCAATTTTTTAATAATAAAAAAGATATTAAGAGCTTTTGATGACAATATCATCGATACTGAGGCTCGGCACTTGAATTTTTTTGAAATCGTTTTAAAAAAAAATATATATCTTCAGAGTATAGCTCTAACCCAATATGATTTCATGAAAGATAAAATGTAATTCCTATGTATCATGAATCCAAAAACAACAAATATAAAGAACTAGTGATGATCCTTATATATTAAGACGCATGCAAGTGACGCAGCACAAACACATATGACATTAATGAATTGGTTGGCGGCTGACAATAATACAAACGGTTCTGTCGATATCAATTAAAATGTCTTGTTCATATTTCCCGAGAATAATTGTTGAAATTAAGAACAGGAAGCCATAGTTTTTTTTTTTTTTTTTGCTATTTAACAGGAAGCCATAGTTATTTAAAAAAAACAAATGTTGCCAATAGATACCTCACTCGGCTAAGTAGGTCAAATATGTAATGCCATAGAACTCTAAACAGAGCGGTTAGTCTTTTTAATCTTAGAAGAAGTATATTGTAACAGTTTAGTCTTATGTGAAAACATAATACTAATAATTTAGTGTTATAGGATAAAATAATGATGTAGACGCGAAGCCATCCATACCTGCAATTCCAGAACATGCAGGGTGCTTGCGGGCCTGCGGCAATAAATTAATGAGAGTGAACTTGGATGATAAACGGTGCATGATACAGTTTTGCGATATAAAGACAAAAAGCGTTATCCATGCATGGTCCCTTTGCTCCTTTTCAATTAGTTAATTTTAAGGTCTTTTTAGTAGTTGCAATTGCAACGTTCAATAGGCAAGAGCCAAGAACATATCATATTTTCGGTAAATGTCATTTAAGACGATAGATACAAGGATTCGTAATTTTTATAACGAGGAAACCCATCATGACCACACACACACAAAAAAACTAAAGCTCTTTAAAAATAAATGTTAAAAATAGATTTGATCTATTATATTATAATATAATTGCAGTAACATTAACGATTTTTTCATGGACTCATGATTCGATCTTGCTCATTGCATCGTGGCAAATTTTAGATGCTTGAGTTTACCAATTATAAAGCATTTGATTATTTGGAAGACGAGAGTGAAAACAACTCTTTTTGCTTAGAAGTATAATAAATCTTTACAGACCATATAAGAAGTTGTGATTGTATACAAATTTATACGACCTCTGGTAAGAAGTTGGTTTCCCTTATCATACATTACCCTGCAATTTTCTTCCTTTTTCTTCTTCTTCTTCCTTGAATAATTTTTTCTTTGTTTTACGATTTTAGTCCAGGACGATACAGTTGCTTTTTTTTTTTTAATATATGCTCGTTAATTCTCTCTTCGATCCATATTAGTAGCCCGCGAACATTGGAGGTGGTGGTGATGCGTATTGGTGACCGATAAAGGTTGGTATGGTGAATTCGTCACTTGGAGTTGGTGCCTGTGCCGACGGCGTCTGCTTCTTTTCCACCGGAGCTGGCGGTGGTGACTGGAGTGGTGGGGAGTTGGTCTTGGGCGGTCTTGGTGGAGGAGAGTAGACTACTGGTGGAGATTGCGACGGCGGTGGAGAAAAGACCGTTGGCGATGGTGACGGTTGCACTGGTGTTTGTGGTGGTGAACTGGACTTTGGCGGATGAGCTGGAGGAGAAAACACGGGTGGTGGTGGCGGCGGTGAGTGAATAGGTGCCGGTGGCGGTGGTGAGTGGGCCGGTGGCGGAGGTGAGTGAACTGGTGGTGGTGGTGGCGAGTGGACAGGTGGCGGCGGTGAATGGACTGGTGGCGGCGGAGAATGTACAGGTGGTGGCGGTGGTGGAGAGTAGATTGGAGGTGGTGGTGAAAAGACGGGTGGTGGGGGAGAGTGGACTGGCGGTGGCGGAGAGTGAACCGGCGGTGGTGGAGAGTGGACTGGTGGAGGAGGTGGTGGTGGAGAGTGCACTAGTGGAGGAGGTGGAGGTGGAGAGTTCACGGGAGCTGGAGGAGGAGGACTGCGTCGTTTCTTCACCGGAGACTGATCATAAGGATCATCTGGTTGCGGTGACTCTTTCGGTGTCTGAGGTTTGTGAACAGGCGATGGCTTGTGAACCGGCGTAGATGGAACCGGTGATGGCTTGTGAACCGGCGTAGATGGAACCGGTGATGGCTTGTGAACCGGCGTAGTTGGAACCGGCGATGGCTTGTGAACCGGCATAGTTGGAACCGGCGATGGCTTGTGAACCGGCGATGGCTTATGTACCGGCGTAGTTGGAACCGGCGATGGCTTGTGAACCGGCGATGGTTTGTGAACCGGAGATGGTCTCGATGGAGTACCGCCACCACCAGCGCATTTGTCCTTGCTACAATCAACCGGGCGGCTGATCACTGCCGCACATTCCTTGGCAGATCGTTGCTCAGGTCGATTAGGCAAGCAATTACGAATATCGTCCAATGCAATCTCCTTGCCAGTACCTGGAACACACGAACCACCTTGTCCATTGAAGTAATTGTAGGAATAAGTGAAGTTCACCAAATTAGGCAAACCACAAATGTTATCCGCTACTAATCCGGTGAGTCTATTCCCTGAGATATCGAATTCCTCCACTGCCGTTAACCCGACAAAGCTAGTCGGTAGACGACCCACGAACGAGTTCTTGCTCGCATCAAAAACCGTTACATTCGATAACTTTCCGATTTCGGACGGGAAACAACCTCCCAAACCATTGTCCATAAAGACAATCTCGTTGAGGTTCTTCATGTTTCCGATACTTTTAGGGATACATCCGGTGAATTTATTGTTAGCGAAAGTCACAACCGAGGCCGGAGATTCCCCAAGAGAGTCGGGAATCACCGAGGTGAATCTATTGTTGTTCAAGAAAATGGCGTCGAGTTCTTTCTTGAAAAGCTCATGAGGGACTTCACCTTCGAAATCGTTGAACCTAAGGTCGAAATATTTAACATCAGGCCAAGAGAGGGCGACGTAAGGGAACGGTCCAACGAAACGGTTATTGCTAACATCAAACTCGTGCATCAGCGTAAGCTTCTCAAAGCTTTTAGGAATGATCCCACAAAACCGGTTCGAATTCAAATGGAACATAGCAACATCCGTCATCAAACCAAGCTCAACAGGTAAATGCCCTGCGATATCCGCTCCGTTGAGGTCAACACCGGCTACAACCGTGATCTCGGAGTCATCAAGAGCCGGTGCACAAACCACACCGGTGTAGCCGCACACGTGCGGGCCATGCCAGTTTCCTGTGGTGTTGAACGGGTCCGAGAATATCGCTTTTTTCCAAGCCTGAAGAGCTATGTAAGCTCTCTTAAGCCTGGTGTTTGCGAATGTAACCTTGAGATCAACCTCGTATTCAATATCAATAGGAAAGTCGCCGTGTTTTGGAAATGTCAAGAGCTGTCGCTGCGCGATGAATGAAGCTTCTGTATCGGTTAGGGCAAAGGAAGAGGATGAGAAGAAGAAGAAGAACAAGAGGAAGAAGCAGCAGCCGAAGGACGGAGGTTTAGCCATGGCTAAAACAAAAACCTTGGAAAAGGCCCAAGGCTGCTTATAGAAGGGCATGAGAGGGTTCAAGGAGGACACAAAAGTGTTATTATTAATAAGCCAACGGTTTTCGTTTTACAATCACCAACGGTTTCCCTTAACATTCTTTGTCTATATTTAGGGGAAATCTTTTGTTTTGAAGGATTCTGCTTCAGATTCGGAGGATATATAATCAAGAATAGATGTCGTTGTTAAAGAAAGCAAATCAAGTAAAAGAGCATAGCAGAATCTCTAAAATGTGTGTTTTTTTAAATCAAAACCGGTCACTATTATAGGACACAGCCTTGAAAACGAACGGTTGTTGGCTACATTAGCAAACATCACGCAACGACACAAACCCTATTTGTCTCTCACTACCTGACTGACGTGTGCAGCAAGTGTTTTGTATGCTATAACGATGTGCTAACTCTGTAAATCCAAGCAGTAAAAGACAACAAGAATGGTATTGTATCTTCGCAAGATCCTCAAACGAGGCTCTCTCAAGCTTTTCCCATAAACAATATCTTCTCTACTTCAGCTCGAAACGCCTCAATTTTTGAAAAACGATATACATTTCTCAGTTTAAGCTGCTCCATTTAATTAAAGGTAAATGTGGAAGAAGAGCATCATCATTTTTCATTTTCCTATATTAACAATATCATCAATCAGCCACATCATCCTTCTCGTCCGTCGATTCCCTCGAGGGTCCAAGATCCTTATAAGCCTCTGGAGTCTAGATAATTGATGTATAGATGCTGACTAAAGGAACAGATTTCCTCACACTTCAGTATACTGTCATTGTTTGCATAAAACGCCAATTCATGTTACGTATATCATTCACCGTAGGAAATATCGTTATCTTTTACAAGACATTCGTTGTGTACACATGTTTCTAGTGTGACCAAAAGGTCCAAAATAAACAAAAAAAAGTAACTACAATTAAAAGAATTTATAAAATTCATAGCAAACTACTATCATAGAAAATGATGACAAAGAATACTATTGTAAATGAAAAAAAAAAAAAAGAATTAAAGATTGAAAAGCTAAGGAAGAAACGCAGATCATGCTTGATACTAATCAAATACTTTTTCCCCCTAGATAACATAGACAAAACTTTTAACAAACAAAAACAAATCCTAATTTCATCCCATTCGATTCCCCTTTATAAGGCTCTCTTTAGCCTCAGTCTCATTCTATACAACAAATGAAACCCACCACATTCTCCACCCACACTTCCTATTTGTATCTCTATTCATAGTAACTCATCTACACTTCTTATTGCCGCCTTTTTGTATCGTTTTCCTGAGCTTCACCATCCTTACGGCACCACCTGAGAATATGCAGCAGCCTCTTTAGCAAAACACAAGCGAAATTTGTTTAGTATGAGTTCTTTTTTCTATATTTACCTGATCATTCACTGAACTATCATCATAACTCGCTTCTCTTCTGCGTTTTCTGCACACCTCTGAATTACGTCCTTTCTCTTCTTCTTCTCTGAAATTCTGTCCTGACGCCTCTGGAGATCCAAGAAAAATAGACTGAAATTAGTTTCATTATCAGGCAGATAAGCACACAAGTTCTAAACAAAACACATGCATGTGTGGATCCGTGGGTGCATAGATATTAGACCAAATCTTATACATCCTACGCAGTAGCAATCATTTCTTCGATCCTATTCTCAAAGTCATATCAACTCTTTATGTTTACAAAATCCAATGCAGAGTTAACCAAGTATTGATACAACAGCATCAGCCTACTTCTTAGAATAGAATTCACAATATGAACAAAGTCTAATTGGGTACTAAAAACCAGAAGATGGGACCATGCCAAACATACATTCGGTTAAGCTATGCTAAGCAAATGTTACCTGCAGTGCTTTGAGCTGGATACTCATGCCCCAAAGAATTTTTCATGCATGTTCTAGTAGAAGCCTTATCACCGGAATTTTCGATTTCCTCCTTGCACAATACCTTTCCTTGTACATCAGTTCCCATGGTGTACTTTCCATTCCGATATTCAGGATCCCGTCTCGAGGATTTTTTCTGAAAACGAAACTCGGATGACGACTCTAAAAGAGCTCGTTTCTTCCCGAAGTTAACCTTCTGCAGGCATCCATTTTGTAGTACCGTGAACTGCTAAAAAACAGAGAACGTCGTAAGTTTCACTAGAGGATTACAAAACCAATGAGGTCACAGGAGAAATAGTAAGGAAACCCGAACCTGATCAGCCGGTTTGTGAGAGATAGCTTGCACATCGCTAGTTCTAGAGAGTCTCTGCGTCTCTCCTCCAAGCAAGGAATACAACTGCCTAACAAACGAGCTCTCTAAATAATCAAGATACGAGTTGTGTTTCTCATTCGTCCAGCCACCACTTTCATCCTGCAGAAACAATTTTCCAGGAAACGATATTGATGAGAAACATGCCGCAGGAGGAATGCAACAAGAAAACTTGTCAAGAAGTTAAACCATTACAAGACAATGAACAAGTCAGGTTCTCAAAAACTAGATCCAAAAGCAAAAAACAATTGCAACCACTATGTCACCTACTCTAGTTACTCAGAAGAACATACAAAATTAGTTTAAAGCTACGACTTTTCGATTTGGGCCATTTTTGAATGGTTTTGATCGATGTGATGCTGACTTAATGCATATCAAGGATTAGTTATAGATCTTATCATCAGAGCATCACGCTGCCTCAGCGTCCAAGACTTGGTGAACAATTGAATCTTCTGCTAATAAACATCAAGCAATCGCATTTTAGCAAAACAACAATGAATTTGAATGGTTAATTTTGTCGAAGAAGACAATTTGCAACATCTGGTTTCACTTTTCGAGAATCAGATGCGATAAAATACAAAATCAAAGATTAGATTTTTCCTTCCCGAATTAATGAGTACGACCTAATCGTACCATCAGATCTGAAGTTTCCTCCCATATATAAAACAGCTAAAGTAAAGTAGATTCCAAATCGATAAGAACAAACAAAATAAGCGTAATTTTTGCTTATGGGTTACTTCTTTCGTTACTAAACATAGTTAAGCTAAAATCACGATAGCAGAAGCAAAAGATACAATCCAGAGAGAAAACTATTCCTTATCTGAATAGTTATCATTTATCAAAGAACACAAATCAATCAAGTTAAAGTCTGATTCGAAGAATCAAACGAGACCCGGAAAATCTCTCTTTCTCTGACGACGACTCAAACGAAACAAACAAAAACGAGAGGAAGAACGGATGATTTATGTTTACCAGCTTAGAATCCGCATCACCGCGCGAGCTTTCAACCGTAAGGCCGGACTCGAGCGAGTTCGATAGAGTCGACTCGCTCTGAGATTCAGCTGTCGCCTCCACATCGTGATCCATCCCGAGAGAAGCAATATTCACTCTGTAATCGTTCTCCATCGGTGCTCTCCGATGATCTCCACACAAAAAAGAAACAATTAACAACAAAGGAAAATTGCGTCTCTTAAGGAAAATTGCCTTTTTGTTCGTCTTCAGAAAAGCCAAAAGAAGAGCTTAGGAGAGAGGGGAATGAGGAGGTGGGAAGGAGAAGGGATGAACGGGAGAACCAGAATAGAAAATACTAAAGAGAAACAAGAAAGGTCCACATGGCGTCGCTTTTACACGTGTCAGAGTTGTGCCACGTCATCAGCAACGATAATATCTCGGACAAATATCATCCAGATATTTTTGGAGCTGAAAGGAGGTTGTGTTGTGGATATTTTTCTTGTTTCTCTAAATTTAGTTTTTTTGTGTGGTCAACTTTAGATAATTTGATGCCCTCCATCCTAATTTAAAAATACGTAAGAACTCCAAGTTTCTTTTAAAATTTTTAGTATTTGTCTTTTCCAACATTAAAAATTTGTGTAATCTCTATAGCTGCGACAATTATATAAATAATATTTATAAAATTGTCAGTGCGGTAAAAATGTACTTTTTTGCAAAAGTGATGGGTTTATGGTAATGGTGCCCAGTTAATTTGTAACATCTCTCATGCCTCAAGAGTGCTGATCGAGCAAATATAACAAATTTTGGTTCATAAGCTTTTCATGAAGAATATCATTTGAATTTGGATAATGAGATAACGCCAAGAAAAATATATCGTTATCTGGAATATAATATAGGAGTAAAATTTAGAAGTTGAAATAAAAAATCCGGAACAAAAAAAAACTAATCAAATTAGCCAATGGTTTTTGCAAATGGATATTTCGAGATACGTGCTGACGTGGACAGTGGTTGCGTCAAAATATCTGCCACTTCTTTCCTTACCAACAAAAATATCTTCCCTTTTTTATTTGACAAGCAAAACAAATATCTCGCCATAATAATATTAGTTTTCTAATGCAGACGACTTTGTTGTTATCACAACTGGTGGGATAAACATTATTTATATAGCCACACTAACCAGAAATTTTGTAATATATCCCCTTTGTAAACTCGTGTCTAATTAGGTCGTGCGTAGATTTGGGGTAGAATAAATTATGTATTTGTGAGCGAGGTAAGTAGATGATTTCCAAAGAAAATCCTAGGTTATAGAATTTTGTTAAATCTAATCAGATATTTAATTCCATCTTGATGTGGAACTAATTACTACCCTAAATTTTACCAGACTTTTTATATACGATGTAATGCTTCAATAACCATGTTTGTATGTTTTATCTTTGTAGACTCCGATTTTTATCTACCTAAGTATAATTCGGACAGCACAGAGTTGCAAAAGACTTTGTCCATTGAGCATGCAACACCATACATTATATTCCGTGTTTAGTTTGCCGCTTTAATCACTCGTGAATAGAATTAAAAATGCTCAAACCATAATATTTGTTCTACAAAAGTCATTCTCACGATATTTTTGGAACTTTGGTATCTACTACATAACATATGTATATATACTTTTACCTAACTAATAAAGCATGACATCCTTGTAACACGCTCCGTTTTTTCGTTTTAATCAGCCTCTATTAACAGATTTCACTGATGCAATTGCATAAAATATTACGACCAATTTTGCTTAACTATCCATCAAATCAACCGTCCACATTTACACAGCATCACAAGATGACATCACAACCGTTCATTAGCAACATAATTGTGATGGTCGTGCGATGGGTATATGTATATTATGCTAACCCCTCATGATGGTTACTCAATTTCACGATTTATTTCGAGGGATTTGATTTGATTTGTTTCCCTGAGAGTTTGAGAGAATGAAAAAAAAAAAGTAACAATATATTTCGAAGCAAACAAAGAATAATTAATTACCGGAAATCGTATTGAAGGATAAATTAAAATATAGTTTGGGTTAATTAACCATTAGATTCTAAATTGAATTTCTAAAATCACAGCTATTTTACAAAACTGTCATTCCTCTGTACAATCACATCAGAACAAACAAACAATAATTTTCTCAAGAGATCATTCAAAAACGAATAATGGAAAGATAATTCATTAATCATCAATTTGGTTCGCCGGAGAATTGCCGCACCGAGCAAGCAACCACCTGAGCCCATTGCTTTAGCCTCAGCTTCATCGTCTCCGGATCATCACCTTTATTTATTTTTTTCCCAATTCCCCACCGTCAGATATATATAAAAAAACATAATATTCTAAGAAAATTAAAAAAATTCAAATTTGACATACCTTGATCGACGATCGTCGTGCTCGAATTGCTAAGTTCACCTTCCGATACGATCGAAGACAGAGACGAAGTCCGGGACAATCTGCTGCTATACTGTTTGTTGACGGCGCAGTATAACCCAAGAGCTGGAAGAGTTTCCGAGAGTCTCGGATCCAAATCCGGCGAATCAGGCTCGAACCCGAATCCCAGCTCGATGCAGCCCTTGAGCTCTTCCAGATCTTCGTCCGTGACGCTCTTACTCCGACCGAGTCGCCCCGATGGCTGTTTACCCTTCCTCCGAAGCCAAGCCTCTTCGCGATCGGCGTCCGGCGACCACGAGTGCTGCTTTATCAGCGGTCTAGGCGGCGGTTGGGACTGCGTTGCGTTGCGTTTTGACATTGGAAGCGGCTAGGTTTTTGTTTTGGGGGTTATTCCCTCCTCTCTCGGTGTTTTAATTCCATACGCCAAAACGCGTTCGGAGCACTTCTTAAATATGTATAAAAAATGTTACTAAATTATAAAATTAGAAATCTGCCCCCAACTTTATACTATATTTTTTTATTGCTCTAGTTTTGTTGTTTTAACTGACATGTACTCAAAAATAAAATATACTGAATCTATTACCATAGATGGGAGTAGACGTCGTCAACCTACAAATATGATGTAGAAATACTAGTTTTTTGGCCAACGATATTTTTTTGTAAAAGGGTAAAGTTTATTTATTTATTCATTTGCTTGCTCTTTTTATTTTGAGTGTTCGAGTCTTACATTACCAATCTTTTACTTTTAATATGTTGAAGGTGACCATGTCATTTTAGTATTGCATGAAAAGAAAATAGACAAGGACCAAATTGGAAACTTGAAACATAGTATAATCCAATAATAGCATCGTTGTTGACGGCAGCACAAGTATGAATGTAATTTAACAGAGAAAAGCGACTCTGACAAAAAGCAGCCAATTGGGTCAACCGGATCCGGTCCACAGCTGGTAACATTTAAAGTCTCTAACAAACATAATAATAATAATCATAATGATTTCTCATACTCTCTCTCTCTCAATATAATTATTGAGGTTTTCTGTTCATAACGTATTATATAAACACCATAAGAACTATTGGAGTTGTCATATTCATTTGTACTAAAAAGAAAGTTGTCTCTTTATTTTAAGAAGAAAATAGAGTGCAATGAAAATAAAATCATTTGAACGACCAGCTTTGGATGTGTGTTAATGGTAATTATTACATGGGACAAGTGAAATAAATTAATCGATTAGATCATCTTTAACAAAAATGGATCAGAAAAGAGGGGAAATTTTTCCTTGTTATCTCTAAAATATTAGTATAACCAAACATTCAGGATTCGACGACTGAAACGGTTTCACACGTATCGGTATCGTCGTGTCCTGTCATTTGCGAGTAAACTTTCTGCTAAAGTAATAATAAGCTGTCCACATGACTAAGACAGGCTGTGCCATGGAGGAACATAAAGAAGCTTTCTTTGTTGAGACTTAATCTTCGTAAGCAACAGTTGGAATCTCTATTTTTCCCATCCAAAGTCCTAAACCAGATACACCGCTTGAATTTCTGAGTTCGAAATTGATTAGAACCGGTTTGATTGAATATTGTCTCATGATCTCCTCGATTTGATATCTCACCCGTAAGTAATCACCACAAGAGCAGACTCCATCCTGAAAAGTTGAAATGATGAAACCGGTTGAATCCCTCACAATGATGTCTCTCCTCCTTCATTAAACCGGTTAAATCCCTCACAATGAAGCCCGCTTTTGTTGATACGAATGGGCTGGACAAGCATTTCGTTAGCAGTACTGGGCCTCACACTAGTTTAATCTTTAGCCATGTCATTTCGCAAAATTTTCTCCTTTTTCTTTAACTCAAAGTGTAACATTAACTGTTAAACAATAGGAGAATAATATACATAAGTATATTTTAGTTAATTTTGTATACACTTGAAGCTTCCTCTCTTTTTTTTTCTTTTTTTTTTTACTAATTTAAAGTATCTTTAGTGTAAAATTTGACATAATCTGCTCAAGCAGGGTTAATAGTTGACTACATTAATCCTCTTCCAGAAAAAAAAGACCATCGAGGATCTAATTGGTCCAGACTCCACATGATTGGATTGCGTGTAAGAGTGCAAAACCTTCGATCTCACATTATTCGGGCTATTCACTTCACATGCATTTACTAGGAAAATGAACTTTATTTTGAGGAATATATAGTAGTTTAGTATTAAACTCACGATCTTGCTAGCTTTCTCCCAACCATAATTTAATTTTCTAGTCCATCGATCTCCAATTAGTAGATCTCTTTCCAAGAGTTCAACTACTCTTGGCAACTTTAAGTTTCAGACACAAAATAAAACAATAAATAGTACATAGGCGTCATGATATAGATTATTTTTCTTTTTCGTGGCTTACGTATTTAATCTACCTTTAGTGTTACATTTATTTTGTCAACATACCTTCTATTAAGACTTAGTATTTTATAGTTTTTTTTACTCTAATTCTTAATTAAAACAATATATATTGTTGACTTTTTAAACTCTCTAGAATTTTAAAAAATCTTAGGTGTAAAGAGCCAGAAATAAGATGTGTAAAGAAACTCTTGGCAATTGAGAGAACCCATGATGATTTTTCTTTACATATTGGTATTGTATCATTCTAGCTTTTGATTTTATTTTGTTATGTTGTTTTATTAGTTCTGCTCTAGATTTACTAGGTTTTGTATACCGGATTCGTAAAAGAAGAGCTATATATATAAAAAAAAAACCGTGTTGTTTCTACACGTCCTTAAAGAAGTAATTTTAATTAATTAAATCTAATTCAGGAAAGAACATGTCTCCAAAGACTAGAGTCTAGCCCATGTGAATTCTTTAAGCTCACGATTCCATTTAAAAAATGTAAACGCAGAGTAGACTTTCCCAATCCAGTAGATTCTTTGAGAGAAATACTAAAATATGATTGAAAATAGAAATAAAAGATGGGAGACACGAAGGGTCACTTGTAAGAGTCTATAATGAGGAAGAAACATACTATTTTAAAAAGTTAAAGTTAATTAACTAAGGAGAAAGATCACATCACATGTGAAGATCAACACAACAGGATGATGGAACACCAATTCAAAATATTACTCCATAAATTATATATCAATAAGAAAAATTTAATTGTTTACGAGGGCGTCGAGTGGACCACGTGGCAGATGTCCATCCATTGTAGGTGCAGCGAACGTGATATTCTGGACTGTTCACCCGTTCCCTCTTCCACCACTTTTTTTTTTGTTTGTTCCTACTGTTCTTTAACTGTAATGTTATAAATAATGCTTTTCCTTTTATTTTCATTTTTATAATAAAAGTGTAGTGAATGATGTTAGTGCGGATCACTCCAAGGTCGATTTGCCAAAGGAATGCAATCTCTAAAATGGAACAACGTTATCTCTTTCTTTTTGTTTAATTTTCAAATTTAAATTCCATTCGGTGAAACTGGTAAATCAGTTTATAGGAATACTGTGAGATGTCTAGTTTATTTTTTCAAAAATGTTGGTGACCACTGTATCAGCCTTTACCGTATGGTTTAGAAGTATTTTTTTATGACCATAGTGTAATGAAGGATATAGTATAAAATATACAACCCGGGTTATTTATTATATCATTTATAAACGATTTTTTTCTCTTTTTTAATAATTTTATCCCAGTATGGGGTCTCGTTACTGATGACGCCGTTTAGAAAATCTAACGGCCAATATCGTTACACTTTGCGAAATCTTATTCGTGGGGAACGCAATGTATCGATAATGATTTGAGCAAAGCAGCGTTTCCCATTGGACCACGTTGTCCAATATCTTTGGCTCACGCACGATCTGACGTCAAATGGAGGACATTGGATGTTTATAGCCTTATCGGGAATAAAATAATCCCTGCATCCAAACAAACGAAACCACCTTTATAACACGACGAGTGTCACGCCGAGGACACTTGTCGATATCTCTCCCTCTCTCTCTCTGACCCCTTTCAGGTTTTTTTCTTTCTCAAAAGGGAAATATCTATTTTCCGTAAGAAAGAAAATAGAATTAAAATTTGAAGGTAACGAAAATAAAAACTTATTTTGTTGTTGTTGTTGTTCTTTGTTAGTTTGTGTGACTGAGCTGCTTAATTTTCCTTTAATTCTTTTTTTATTGAATTATCTTCTTCCTTTTTGATTTGATGAATCGATTTTGTAGTCCATTGCTGATTGGTTTAGTGTTCAGATTCATTGATTCGATCAGAATCATGATTTTTCCCGCCGAATATAAGCGTATGATTGGGTGTCTGAGAGAAGTTCCTGATTGGAGAATCTCCTTTTTTTTCACTGTTTGTTCTACTTCTTTGGTGTTTGTATCCTGTAGAGACCAATCTAGCTTCGAATTGATAAAAATCTGATTTTTTATTTCACGGATATAGCTCGTGGGTCTCTTCTGGGGTTGGATGCTATTGCTACTGCTAAAAATTTGGTATTCTGATATTGATAAAGATCAGTGATTTAGATTCTTCGTTTGATTTTGTTTCTTCCCTCTTATGAATTCAACAATTTGTGTGTAAACCATAACCTCTGTTCGGTTTGTTCAATTGAAGGAAATCTTGGATTCATAGCTTGATTTGAGAAGAATGAACTTGAAGAACTTTGCTGATGGTGTGAGCGATGAAGTGACTAACCCTAAGCAGACAACGATGGGGACTAGTCTTCCATTGGCGAGACAGAACTCGGTGTTCTCCTTAACCTTTGATGAGTTTCAGAACTCATGGGGTGGTGGAACTGGTAAGGATTTTGGTTCGATGAACATGGATGAGCTCCTGAAGAACATATGGACAGCAGAGGAAAACCACTCAATGATGGGCAACAACACCAATCTCAACAACATCAACATTGGTGATAACAGTAACACTGTTCTGAACAGCGGTAACAGCAAAGGTGTTTTGCCTGTTGGCGTGGGAGGAGAAAGTGGTGGTTTTTTCTCTGGTGGGAGCTTGCAGAGACAAGGGTCACTTACCTTGCCTCGTACGATTAGTCAGAAAAGGGTTGATGATGTCTGGAGGGAGCTGATGAAGGAGGACGATGCTGGAAATGGTGTTGGTGATAGCGGAACAGTTGGGATTCCGCAGAGGCAACAAACGTTGGGAGAGATGACTCTGGAGGAGTTCTTGGTCAGGGCGGGTGTGGTTAGGGAGGAACCTCAACCGGCGGTGGAGAGGCTAAACAACTTCGATAGCGGGTTCTATGGATTTGGCAGTAACGCAGGTCTCGAGTCAGCTCGTAATGATAGGTTTGCTCCTAGCCAGCCTCATGACTTTGCTGGAAATGGAGCTCCGGTGAGACCGGATCTACTGACAACTCAAACTCAGCCACTACAGATGCAGCAGCCACAGAAGGTTCACCAGCCGCAACAACTAATTCAGAATCAGAAGCCGGAGATACCATTTGCCAAACAGACTACTATCAGGTTTTCAAACACTGTTGATGCGGACAATCGTTCTCAACCTGTAACACAGGTGACTTATAACCTGGATTCATATGAAGTACAATTATTTGATGTAGCTAGTTTTGGATCTGCAAGTAATGATGTTTCAGTTATTTGACAATGGCTTCTTTTTTGCTTTTTTTGAAGTGCCAGGAAGTGAAGCCTTCAATTCTTGGAGTTCGGGACCATCCTATGAACAACAATCTTCTGCAAGCTGTTGATTTTAAAACAGGGATTACGGTTGCTGCAGTATCTCCTGGAAGCCAGATGTCACCTGATCTGACTCCAAAGAGCGCCATGGATGCATCTTTGTCACCTGTTCCTTACATGTTTGGACGAGTAAGGAAAACGGGTGCAGTTCTGGAGAAAGTGATTGAGCGAAGGCAAAAAAGGATGATAAAGAATAGGGAATCAGCTGCAAGATCCCGCGCTCGCAAGCAAGTGAGTGTTCACTTGAATTTTCGAGATTGAGGAAACCTTGAAAAAACCGTGGCAAATGGTTATTTACTTCTTCTTTTTTTCTTCACTTTGCTGTCTGACTGATAGGCTTATACGTTGGAGTTGGAAGCAGAAGTTGCACAACTCAAAGAGGTGAATGAAGAGCTGCAGAGGAAACAAGTGTGTCCCGCTTCTTCCCTATCACATTAACGAATCTCGAGATTTTTCATTTTTGGATAGACCATTGACCAAATGTTTTAATGCAGGTTGAAATCATTGAGAAGCAGAAAAAACAGGTACTGTCTCTTGTATTCTTGATTTGCATATCTTTAATCGCAAGACTAATCCCCCAAAAGTATGAGTTTTAACAGAGATTGGCTCATTTGTTGTTGCAGCTTCTGGAGTCAATGCGCCAGCCACGGGGATGCAAACGGCAATGCTTGCGAAGGACATTGACAGGTCCTTGGTAGAGAGCTTCCAAGGAACTCAATAAAAGAAGAGCAGAAGTTATAGAACAAGACAGAAAGTAGAAGCTAGATTTGTATGTAACTTAGGCAGGTGTTTCTGTGGGTGATTGTAAATCATGAAGCGTGGTTGATTTGACAGAGATAGATCAACACTCATTTGTTCTGTTTTCCTGAAGCATCTTTTTGTTTTTATCTTCCTGATGTAATGGATCTAGAGATCTTGCTTTATTGGACGTGTCATTGTCTTGAACATCTTTATGACAACCAGTGTGGATTTATCTTGTAGTGTATTAAGTGTCTGGTCCACTTTTTCCAACGACTAATAACTAATTTGGGATCGAATCAACAACGTATAACAGAGCGTGAATAGATTGATGGAAACATCAAGTTTATAATCATCATCTGTAGTCTCCAACTGGGTATACAAAATCAAATATAACACTAACTTAAATGGCAAAATTTCTTGAAGATACTACCCAGGTCCAGGACAAAGTTGAACAGATGATACCAAATGCTGAGTCACAAGATTTAGCGATGGGACATCTTCTAACTGTGTTTCTTGATCAAGATGCCTTCAAAACGGCGTCAGATTCCCTCGATACTCATGCACAAGCCCTTCTGAAACGCTTCTTGCTCTACCATATCCAAACAGCTTGCTAACAATGGCTAAAGAAAAATTGGTAACAGTTGCGAGCCCTAAACTTGTAATCACGTTTCCATCTATAACAACTTCTGTCCCTTCAATCATTTGGTCATTCATAGGCCCGTCTGTGTCTGAAGGGTACACAACTGTTTTCTTCTCCTGCAGTAGGATTCAAATCGTGTACAGCGTCTGCTCAAATCTACGACAAAGAAAAGAGTAACAGTTTTCTTCAGTTTACCTTGAGTAAACCGTGTTTACGCAGTACGGTAGATGAAGTGCTAGTAGCTCCATATATTCGCCCAGTTTCTTGTTGTTCCTTGAGCAGTTTCTTAAGAATTATGGACTTCTGTAGACGTTCCGAGCCAGCAAGGCCTCCCTAGGAGATTTCCATCAAAGAAAAAAAGATCAACACTGATCTAAGATGTTGTTGGGATTCAGCAAAACAATAACTGTTGTGAACTAGCCAAAGGGTAAGAGACTAGCTTATCTTAATGTCTTACCGGAAGAATGAGTAGATCATATGATGATTCAGCAGCTTCACCAATCAATTTGTCTGTGATAATTTTGGTGCTTTGGGATGCCGTAATCCGCAAAGATCTTTCGACCGATGCAACCGTGACATCTACTTTAGCTCTTCTAAGAACATCTGCAATCGTGACCACTTCAACCCCTTCAGATCCGTTGGCTACTGGGATAAGAACCTGAATTTAGTTGCATCATTAAAACCATTTCCACAAATTAAAATGAGAGTGAAAGAAGAGAGAATGGATCAAAGACACTCCATAGGTATAGAAGCTTAAGGAGAAAATCCAAAATCAGTTATCATCATTTACTCATGAGGTCACATGGAAATGCATTGGTCATAGTTTCACGGGACTTACACGAGGTGTGTGGTTTAGAGACCAGTCCATGCTATTGAACTCTTCATTCTTAGGATTCTGGTAACCATCGCGTAGAAGCTGCAGAAATGATTGGAAAAGATGGCTATGAGAAGATTGTCGCATACGTGATAACAAGCCAAAAAAACTAGCAGTATGAAGTGGATAGAGACCAGAAGTTCTTGAACCGACATGGCTGTGGATTCTCCAAAGAGCTGCTTCACCAAGGAAAGAGCAAACTGAAAAGAAGTGCCTGGACCACGACTAGTTGTAAGCTCCCCTGAAATCTGAATGTTCGTCTTTACAGCCCAGAATGTAGGAAGCTTCCCGAAAAAGGCAGGATGTCCTGTTGTCTTGCACGATGAACTACACCAAGTTTAGAAATCAAAACATGGAGAGCAAAAGATTAGTTACAATCCAAGCCTTTTGATTTATACTACCTTCTTTCTAGTCAAAAGTCCCCATGGAAGAAGAGTAATAGCTGGAGCCATGGATATAGCCCCGTATAGTCGCTTATCTTCAACTTGTCTCTTCATGATCTTCTCCAGAATTCCACAGTCTCTTAACCTAACCGCACCAGGCATGCCTCCCTTCACAATTAAACCAGATATTGTTCATGAATCAGCCAAAGCAGAACAGCAGAAGAAGTTTTAGTATAGTCTAATTCAAAAAAAAGGAACTTACCGGCAAAGCCACTAGATCAAAAACTTGTTCAGCACATTTCGAGATCAAGACATCAGCGAGCAATTTTGTCCCTGAAGATGCTTCAACCTCTAGTTTTTGCTCCACAGAGGCAACAATGACCTCTGCACCAGCTCGCCGTAGAACATCAACTAACACAACAGCTTCTATTTCCTCCGTACCGTATCCTATTGGAACAAGCACCTACACATAACACATTTGCTAAGTTTCTTCAATTTCTCTTTTAAACTCCTAGAAAGTGTAAGCAACAAAATAAAAAGAGAGACCTTTTTAGAAGTTGCAGGAGACACGACGCTAACATCGGAATCTGCCGTTGTTTCCATACTCGGCGACGCTGCCGAATATCTGAGTCCTGAATTTCGAGCCCTCCTTTTCGTCACTGGTGAATAAACCACAGAGATTGAAGACAAACTCGGAGCAACGATCGTAGAGATACAACCCACTGAAGAGACGAGCCTTGAATCCGTCAAAGTTGGACTCAGCGAAGCTATCATCGAAAGCGAAAATCCCAAAGACCCCATTGACGACGATTTGCTATTGCGGTAATGCAGGTTATGCAGCAGCCTCCGTCTTATCTATTTCACTCAACACTTCTCGACGAAAGCAAAGACGCCGTCGTATCATAGTTTTGTTAGTTAACTGTTTGGTTGGATGAAAAGATTCTATTTTTTTTTTCCCAAACGGATTACAAAAAAAAAAGGTTTTTCCTTTCAGTAGTGAATCTGTCTCACACGCAACTAAGGAAGTGAGACCAAAAATGATTTTTATATAAAGCTTTTTCCCCATGATCTTATCCATTTCTCGAATGGGATTTGTATTTTGGATATGAATTACAGACAATCAAGTATTCAAAAGACGTAAGCTTTTAGTGTGTAAATATAAATACTATATATATATACACTTATCTAAGTGAATTCGGTCTTTGAGAGAGAGTGAGAAGACGAAAATGTTGAGGATTTTGGGGAGAAGGGTAGTTTCAGCTTCGGAAGAGCTTACTAGTATCCATCAATGGCGGACCCGACCAGGAATCGATTCTCGGCCCGATCCTTTTCGAATTTTCCGGGGACTGCAGAAGGGTTTCTGCGTGGGCGTTCTCCCGGATGGAGTCGACAGAAATTCGGAGGCTTTTTCTAGCAACTCGATCGCCATGGAAGGGATCTTATCGGAGCTTCGCTCCCACATCAAAAAGGTAACCCAACCACCTCATCTATGGATCGACGTCTATTGTTTTCAGATGAGATTTATCAGTGTTTCTCGGTGTGAGTTTTCTAGGTACTGGCCGGAGGTGGAGAGGAGGCAGTGAAGAGGAACAGAAGCAGAAACAAGCTTTTGCCCAGAGAAAGGATCGATCGGCTTCTTGATCCGGGTTCTTCATTCCTGGAGCTCTCTCAGGTTTTGCTTTGTTCATCCAATCTCTGGATTCAGTTTACAATTGCAAGCTTGAGTTTTTTGTTTTTTTGGGAATAAATGTGCAATCTTGTGATTATTGCTGATTAATGCTGTATCAGAGAATAGTGTAAGAGGAGAATATTGTTGAAATGTTTTATCTTTTTAGAATATAGTTGTGACTTAGATTTCTAACTGCATCATTGACTGTAGACAAATTTAGAATTTGTGTTTTCGCTCTATCTGGCTTATTTGGAGAAGAACTGGCATTGATTAAAACTCGTTTGATGTCTCTGCTTATCGGATATGAATATACTTGAAGCTTGCAGGACATGAATTGTATGAGGAGCCGTTACCTTCCGGTGGCATAATCACAGGGATAGGACCAATTCATGGACATCTATGTATGTTTATGGCAAATGATCCTACAGTAAAAGGAGGCACTTATTATCCCATAACTATCAAGAAACATCTCAGGGCACAAGAGATTGCTGCTCGGTGCAGACTCCCCTGCATATACCTTGTTGATAGTGGCGGTGCTTACCTTCCAAAACAGGCAGAGGTTTTCCCTGACAAGGAGAACTTCGGTAGGGTTTTCTACAACGAATCGGTTATGTCATCAGAAGGAATTCCACAAATCGCCATTGTTTTAGGCTCCTGCACTGCCGGTGGTGCCTATATCCCTGCCATGGCTGATGAGAGTGTGATGGTCAAAGGGAATGGTACAATATTTTTGGCAGGACCTCCTCTTGTGAAGGTTTGTTATCCCAAGCTACTCTCTTTCTTGTCTTAATTAGTTTCATGAGCATGTAAAAGCTAAACGAAGAGTTTTTGAACAGGCTGCCACAGGAGAGGAAGTCTCAGCTGAGGATTTAGGAGGCGCCACGGTTCACTGTAATGTGTCCGGTGTGTCGGATTATTTTGCTCAAGGTATATATATCCCTTTCTGCAATATACTTATACACAAGAGTCACGTTTTAGAGTTTATTAGACCTTAAGAAGTTGCTCTAGTCTTGCAGACGAGCTACATGGACTCGCTATTGGTAGAAACATTGTCAAGAATCTGCACATGGCTGCAAGAAAAGGGATGGAAGGAACATTTGGAAGCACAAATCTTGAATACAAAGAACCGCTCTATGACATAAACGAGCTTCGGTCCATTGCTCCAGTAGATCACAAGCAGCAATTTGATGTCCGATCTATTATTGCTCGGATTGTTGATGGGAGTGAATTTGACGAGTTCAAGAAACAATACGGCACTGTGAGAGAATCGTTATTAGCTTCTTCTTAGACTTATATTTTCTTCCAAATTATGGCTTCTCACTAGAACCTGTTTTTTTGCAGACGCTAGTGACGGGTTTTGCTAGAATTTACGGCCAGACAGTAGGAATCATTGGGAACAATGGGATACTGTTCAATGAATCTGCACTAAAAGGAGCTCACTTCATCGAATTATGTTCTCAACGTAAAATTCCTCTTGTTTTCCTCCAGAACATCACAGGCTTTATGGTAATTAAAGTGTTTTGTTGTGTTCTTTCTAACACGTAAGAGTTTCTCTATCTAATCTTTACTTGCTCTTATTATACTTTGCAACCACTGTTTTACTTATTGATAGGTGGGTTCAAGAGCTGAGGCCAATGGAATTGCAAAATCTGGAGCGAAAATGGTGATGGCAGTATCTTGTGCTAAAGTATGTTTTCAAATCTTGTAAAGAGTCGAGAGAGATATTATGATTAATAGTATATAGAAGAAGTTTAAGATTGGCTAATTATATTCAGGTACCAAAGATAACAATCATAACGGGTGCAAGCTTCGGTGCTGGAAACTATGCGATGTGTGGCCGTGCTTACAGTCCAGATTTCATGTTCATGTGGCCAAACGCCAGAATTGGCATCATGGGCGGCGCTCAGGTAAACCATACCGAACCGAAATGTTTGAATCTTAAAACCAAACTGAATCGAAAAATGTGGGTTTATCATCTTGTGGGGAAACTTTGCACTTTGCAGGCTGCGGGAGTTTTAAGTCAGATCGAAAGGGCTACCAAGAAGAGACAAGGAATAAAGGTACTGAGTTAAAGCATTCTCTTAACCGATTATTATTGAACTCTGTGTTTTCTTCTCAACATGAATCTGCGGTTTTTTTGTGTGTGATGCAGTGGACAGAGGAAGAGGAAGAAGCATTCAAGAAGAAAACGGTTGATGCGTACGAGAGAGAGGCAAATCCTTACTTCTCGACGGCGAGGCTTTGGGATGACGGAGTGATTGATCCTTCTGATACCAGAAAGGTTTTGGGACTTTGTCTCTCTGCTGCTTCAAACCGTCCTTTAGAAGATACTCGATTTGGTGTCTTTCGAATGTAAACAAACCTTGAACCACTTCCATTTTCGAATAATGAGGTTACATAAATGAAAAAAAAAACACTTTCAACTATCAAACATGGTCAACTAATATGTTGACAGAGATCGTTGATCCATTTGTGTTTCGTTCCTTAATCGAATGGAAATACAGTTCGAAAGTCGATAGTTAATTAAATTACTTTTAATTGTGATGCAATAACAAGAAAGCGCCCGTGGCCCAATGGATAAGGCGTCTGACTTCTAATCAGACGATTGTGGGTTCGAGTCCCACCGGGCGTGTAATTTTTGAAATTATCATTTTATTTTATTTTTGACAAAAAGAGTTCGTTCAGTAATTTAATTACCACAAGGTCCACAACTACTAAACAATAACGAGGTTGTACCCAAAAATACATGAATTTTTATGTGAGATAAAAAAAGCAATGGAATTCAAATCAACATAACAATGCTGTTGTATCCACAGAATCTTTTAATGGTACCTAAAATTCCAGTAGAGACAGACAATCAACAAATGACTTTGACATCATCCAATAATCCAGAGGATTGAGTAAAATGACACAGTTATTATTCTCTTGTATGTAATCTACATGATGCTTCCTTCCACAGAGAGGGATCATTCATCACACGCCCTTATACTTGTTTTCAACTCTCCCTCTCTAGATATCATTCATCAATGCGGCTTAAGACAGAACCGAGCTTCTCGACATCTCTTTTCTCCTATTCTTCTTTCATTTCAGTGATAACAATGGGTTGCAGGGAAGAGATTAAGAACGAGGACGAGGATGAAGGACCCGTGCTCTCATGTAGACAAAGCTACTGTCTTACAAATCGGGCAGAGATTCTTGAGCATGAGCCATTGCTTGACGCAGTCAGTGTGGAATTCATGCCCACATACCAAGGTTCCAAGATCATCGCCTTCTGCATACTCTTCCTGTCATTCAATGCATCAACGTTTACAGCATCAGCTTGCGAGTTACACATATAGAGTTACCTATCTATGTAATACTACATTACTCCTGTTTGATTCGCCTTATTGCACCTCTTCTACTAAGATCAACGATTACTTTTTTTGAATCATTAGAGGTTTCTCAGTAGAAGAAGAGTGATTTCAGGTCATATATACCTGACAGACACAGCAAGGCTCCATGTCCTGGTGGGATTCAGCAGCGGAAGATGTATGTTTGTGCTGTTTCATTGCTTTCAGAATCACCTCTTCGCTTAGCCCCGTGCTCACATCTCCTATGCGTTCCCCAAGTGCCAAAAGCTCCTACATTCCCAAACAAACCTTAGTTGGGCGAATTTTGATAGATTGTAATAAAATGGTAAAAGAAAAAATGAGAACACTCACCTCATACGACATGTTGTCAACGTCAAGGCGCATATCCCGATGCCTATCATGCATCTCGGCCATTCCATGGTAGATCAGTGGATCGAATACCATATAATCCTATCAGATCACCAAATGAAAATCATGATCCCAAAAATGAAATGCAAAGTGCCAAGGAACTTGCACCATATTTCGTTTACACAAATGCCAAAAGATCTGTTGATAACAAACTGTTTCTTCTAACTGCGTTTACTTCAATGTGAGGCCTCTCTAATTTTAGCAACCGTGAATAGAGTTGCATGCTGAATATCTAAAACTAACACTTACCTCAAACCGTAAATTCTCCCCTCTTCGCATGGCGCTCAACACCTGCCGAATCTGCCAATAAACAAGATAGTACCAACTGCTCATACAGAGTTCACTTAACAGAAAAGTTTCTACCATTGAAGGATAGCGTGAAACAGCGAAAGAAGATACAGACCTCGGAAATAAGGCGGTTCCTTCCATCGTTGTCAGCAGCTAAGCTTCTTCCTAAGTGACGCAAATGGAGAAGATCATTTTGCCTTTCCAGTAACAATCCTGATCTTCTTTGTCGAGAGCGATGACTACGACTACTAGATCCAGATGGCGCTGCTGCAGCTTCGTTCGAAGAAACAGAAGGGCCTGTGGGTAGTAATGTAAGAGGAGCACCATGATTAGCAGATTCAGGTTCATCACTAGGAAACAAAGACCAAGGAGCAACTTCTGGTATCCTTGATTGATTATGTGGAGCAACCCATGTGGGACTCGGCTGCATAGCATTGATCCCTGAACTCGATCCTGCTCGATGAACAAAGGGAGAATCTCCAGATGCACTAGGGTTTCCACGAGTGAAACTCCAATGAGACTGATCCTGCACTGGATTTCTCGTTTCAGCTGCAGGTGTAGTAAAGACTGGCTGCTCTGAGCTGACCCTCGGTGCGTCCCACGGTGGTCCAAATCCCTCTCCGGGCATATTGTTTGTTCTCGAGCTGGAAGAAGCATTCCAAGCAAAATGGTGTATGTTTCTGGTCAATGCAGGAAGGTGGATCATACTTGACTGACTCTCACCGCTGCTTGAGCTACCTGTAATTGGCATTGCTCTTGCATCCACAGGGTCAACAAAAGGTGAAGTTGCTGGTAAATGCTGTTGCTGACGCACAGAACTACCGGATTGTGAAAAGCTAAACCCTCCTGTCTCCTGCGGCTGCCCAGGATTTAGCCGCCTGCCGGGTCTAGATAACGTTTCAGTGCTTCTAGTAGAAGGAAAAGCACTTGCTGCTACTGCTCTTCCACCACCAATCCCAAACCTTGGTTCCTGCTGATTAGACTGACTAATACCATTCGGAGAGTTTTGCGAGGGCATGGACAAACTAAGGCTACTCGAAGCGTCGTACTGAGCAAGACCCTCATTCCAAGCAGCACTCTCAGTTTGAAAAAAGCAACCAGGACTTTCACCGGGAAAAGAATGGCTGGGAGCTCCTTCAAGAGCCTTTCTTTTGCAGGATGAGCCAAGGCCACCCAACGAAGAACCTGGACCACTACTTCTCTCCTCTGCGGTTTGACTCGAGCTTCCCAGTGAGCTCTCACTGTTATTATGGCGGATAACTACACCTGAAGTCTGCAGACCACTACCATTGATGTCCATGTCCTTGCCAAGATTAACATTTCCTAACATATGATTAGAGCTTGACCCACGTAAGAAGGAAGGCCCGTTTCTGGTGTGACTACCAATCTGAACTCCTCCAGGTAACAGCATACTGTTCGAACCTGATTGCCCTTCCTCAAATCCATAGCCGTCTGAGGGAAGCTGGCGATCTATCTTTGAACCAAAGGAATTGACCTGATCAGAAGGTCCCAATCTAGAGCTGGATTCACCAAAACTCCACCAGTTGTGATTTTGAGCAACATGCGAGCTCGAGCTTGCGTAAGCTGGTCGTCCTGAACCTGTACTACTGCTTGGAAACTGAACATCCACTGGATTCAGGACGCTATTCGAAGTAGCCTCTGAATTGGTGCTACAAATGGGTTCTCCATCTGTGAAATTTATCCCAGTAGATGAATCACCAGTGCTTTGTGGCCCTTGCATTGGATTTATCTAAACCTCTGACCAGAAGCACAAGTAATTTCCAGGACAGAAATTATAAAGCTCTTGAGGATCAGCCTCTTATGTAGCTCCAGGTTCCGAAATGCAGCATCTGTATTATGTTGCCAGATGGAACTCCAAGAGAGGAATATCTGAAATTTCAGCTAGTAATGCATCAGTTCAGAACTATCCATCGTATTTCACATGTATCATTTTCATATACTATCAGGAACTGCTAAACACACTAAAAACTTAATGTTGAGAAAACAACTGAAGAAATTGCAAAATCATGACTTTAGCAGTTATGCAACTAAGTAGTAGAGAATCTTTTGAGTCCTCGCCAAAATTGTCTACAAAAAAAACCAGAGCAGTAGCCAGTAGCTAGCTAAGAAACCACCACTTCTACTTAACTTAGGAAAACAAAACCTAAAGTCTTTGCAACACTTTTCTGAAAATCTTGTCGGAAGATGAAAATAGAGAAAATGTATCTATAGAGATACTTAAGCAAACACTCCAGAGTCATATTGTCCTGTTCGTAGATGAAACCAAAGTAATGACAAGAAGATAGAATAAAAATCTTCTAGACATAACTTTTAAGTTCAGATACTAATTGCGAGACTTATATGTATAACCATAACTTTCACAATCCAAATTCATCACAAAAAACAAAACAAAACAAAAAATCAGCTACACACTAAAAAAAATATCAAAAGGTTCCAATTTTCAGAAAGAACCCCCAATATGGGTGAATCCCGATCTTCCAGATTCACCGAGCTATAGCCATGAATCAACGTCAAAGCAAAAAAGAAGAAAAAAACATCAAGACGATCCAGAAAATGAAATCGATTAAAGACAGATCGTCGCAGGCTGCGAAAAGTTATAAAAAGACCATAAGAGATTGAAGCAATCGTACCCGCAAGAGAAAGGCAGATGGGTCTCCAAACTCCAAAGTAATTTGCTTAGAACTTAGAAAAATTGAAGGATTTATTTTTGTTAAAAGCGTTTTATTAATTGGAATTTCCGGTTGCTCTCTCCTCCATTTTTTCTTCTTTATTTTTTAGCTGAGTCTTTTCCGGTCAAATTACCCAGAAAACGGAGAATGATGGAAAGAGCACAAAGGAAAGAGATGAAAATGGGTTTATTTAAAAAAAAATTTTAAAAAAAAAATAGAGAGAAAGGAACAGAAGAAGAAGAAGCAGTGGATGAGGGGAAGAGAGGATTAAGAGGCGGACAGATTTACATGTGATATTTCTCATCCCACATTTTCATACAAAAGTTAATTGTCATTAAGTTTTATGTAATAAGATCAATTTTTAAATGATATCCCTGATAAGTAATAATAAAGAAGTTTGGTAATGAATCAGGCAGCCATTATTTTATTGTAAGATAGTAGTTTTTTTCTTCAGGACGTCTCTTGCCTCAGTGCTGGTACTTCGGGTTACTCACCTTTTTTCCCCTCTATATTTTTACTTCTTTTTGTGGGTTTGTAATAAATGTGAATTTGGACCGTTTAAAAACATAAAGACGTTTGATTACTATAGCAAGTTTATTTCTTTTGTATATATAAAAAATCGAATTAAGACGTGAATGGTAGGTGCATTTTTAAAACCAGTTGTACACGTAGCTCTCATGCAGTTTAGTGGCCCCATGTGGCTTGACTTGTATTCTGTTTTTGGGCTATTAAAGTCCAACAGACCCTCTTAAGCCCCTTCCTATAAATCCATCCAACTAATAAAAATTATAAACGTGTCCCACCTTTAAATCATCATTAACTATGAAATTCTCTGCGTTGCGCATTGTACAACAGTATAATAATATTGCTTTTGCGGTGGGAAAGTTCAAGAATAAATTACGCAGCCTATAATCGGGACTGATTAGGACTTTGGTTATTAATTTATTTGTTTGAACCATCGGTAATTTTGGTAATTACGATGATGGGCTTTTGGTTGTACCGAACCCGGATTTGGGCCTGTCTAAAACTCATTTGCGGTTAATTATTACTTTTTGATTAAAATTCAGATATACGTGAAACATGATAAATTGGTAAACTTTACCAAAACGAATGTGTTATCAGATTCAAAAGTGTTATTCTAACAATTCGAATGTCTCGCTCGTTAATGTTGTAATGTTCAAAAGATAATTTCTGGTTTCACTACTAGTAAATGCAATAATATCCTTTTCTCGTCAGCAAAAAAAAAAAAAGGATGATGATCATTAGTAAGGAACTCCTCAACCAAAGGCGTTCACCTACCACACACACGAAGCAGAGTTGTTGGATCCACTTTTTATTCCATCGGTCTTCTTCTTCTCTCTACTCACCAAAGTCTCTACCTTTTTTCTTCTTTCTTTAATACACAGAAAATACCTTTTCAAAATTATTTAATACGAGCCTCCTCTGTATCCAGTGTAATTTCTCATTACGTCACACCATTGTATGTAATCGTCTATTTTCAGAACAAAATATCCACACATATTAATATCAAACACATAAACATATAATACTACTCCATTTGGCGGCAAACATTTACTCACTCATAGATGCAAAAAAACAAATTTACTTGTCACAAAACCACGCCACACAATCTTAAAACTGAAAAATAAATAACAACTTTAACTCCTCTGAGTCGGAAAATTTGATTGCCCGAGGCGTTATCACCCCAAGTGCGTCTGAAGCCCCACAGTTGATGGGGACCCACATAAGACAGCGACCGACCAATTGCGTGTTAGGAGAGTTTCACCAACCCCAGACCGAGTTATCATAATACCGGATTTAATAACTAACCCGGTTCGAAACCGGTCTTGATTTCTCCTTCTTTATATACACCTCCCGTGCCATCTGTGTGAATCACCAAAACACACAATCGTCAACCTCAGCAAAAGAAAACAATTACACAAGAGAGAGAGAGAGAGAGAGAGAGAGAGAGAGAGAGAGAAATGGCGACTACAGCAACTGAGACAACGAAGACACCTACTAATGGAGAAGACAAGCAATCTCAGAATCTCCGACATCAAGAAGTCGGTCACAAGAGTCTCTTACAGAGCGACGATCTCTACCAGGTCGGTTTCATTCCAGAATATTCTGGATTTTGATTCAGTTCTGAATAATCTAATCTAATCTTTAATTAAAATCAATACACATGCAGTATATTCTGGAGACAAGTGTGTACCCTAGAGAACCAGAATCAATGAAGGAGCTCAGGGAAGTGACAGCAAAACACCCTTGGTTCGTTTCCCCAATCCCCTAATCCTCATTTCAATCTTTGTTTTCAAAAACCAAAATCGAAATTTAAAACCCCAAAATAAAATCAAACAGGAACATAATGACAACATCAGCAGATGAAGGGCAGTTTCTGAACATGCTCATCAAGCTCGTTAACGCCAAGAACACAATGGAGATCGGCGTTTACACTGGCTACTCTCTCCTCGCCACCGCTCTTGCTCTCCCCGAAGACGGCAAAGTAATTATCTCCTTCCTCTGTTTTTTTCCTCTGTATTCTGCAAATTTATATTCATTTGTCGGAACTGGAATTGAAAATTTTGGTCTTTTAATCCTTAGATTCTAGCTATGGACGTAAACAGAGAGAATTACGAATTGGGTTTGCCGATCATCGAGAAAGCCGGCGTTGCTCACAAGATCGACTTCAGGGAAGGCCCTGCTCTTCCCGTTCTTGACGAACTTGTTGCTGACGTAAGCATTCTTCTTCTGATTTCATTCCAGTCAAGATAACGTTTTAAAAAAAACCAGATATTATAATATTGAGGAATTATTATATACCTTATGGCCTAATTACTTAATTTGGTTGATTTTTAAACTAAATACATTTGTTTCCTGATTCATAAATAATTCAAGGGGAAAAAAGTGATTAATTATTGTGTGTGGGTGGGTGCAGGAGAAGAACCATGGAACATATGACTTTATATTCGTTGATGCTGACAAGGACAATTATATCAACTACCATAAACGTCTGATCGATCTTGTGAAAGTCGGAGGAGTGATCGGCTACGACAACACTCTGTGGAACGGGTCCGTCGTGGCTCCTCCTGATGCACCAATGAGGAAGTACGTTCGTTACTACAGAGACTTTGTTCTTGAGCTTAACAAGGCTCTCGCTGCTGACCCTCGGATTGAGATCTGCATGCTCCCTGTTGGTGATGGAATCACCATCTGCCGTCGGATCAATTGATTGATATAATGATAATACCCCACTCTTGAGTTTGTCCGCAGTGGATTACTTTCCTTTCTCTACCTGCATTCTCACCAACCACCAAAAATGGACCCTTATGTATTTTGTTAAGTAATATCTCCATTTTCCTTGTTTTTTTTTTTTTTTTTGCTTTCTTCTGAACAAACAAAGAAATAATGTATCCCACCTTTTTTTTTCGTTTTATGTTTCTCTATGATACATAACCTAAAGAAATTTTCAATCATCAAGTTTTCTAAAGAGACCTACTGATATTATAATAGAAATAAGAACTTATGTATAACTTAGTTTTAGAACAAAAAAATGGTTACTACTTACTATGCCGTAATGCAGATTAATAGGATTAGCTAACTCCATAACTTTTACAAGAATCAACCGATCATCAATTTGTTAAAAGTCGCTTTTGGAGTTGTCAATTAAAATAAGATCACCAAATGATTTAATTATATATATTGAGAGACAGAAAATACCGAAGTAGGAAGTTTTAGGTCAGCAGTCTTTGAAAATTTATTGTAAATACTAAACACAGTTAGGTAGTTTCAGCTAAATTATTAATTCCACAAAATCTGAATATTTTGCTTTAGAGCTATCATTGGTCCAAAACTCAAAAGAGAGCAGAAATACAATGACTAAATTTCGCCACAAGAATTTCGCATTTTATCCACAAAATATTCTTTCCTTAAATTCGCGAAAAGAATGAAATTAACTTTTGTTGCAGTTGTCAACATTAATTTTTTTTTAATACATAAAAAAATCAGTTATTTAATTATTCAAATTTTGGAAAAAGAGATAATCCAAAGAATACAGGGAAAAAAATCCTATAAATTCTGAATCTTTTTTGAAACTGACAAAAATTCCTTAAAATTTAAGAAGTTTAAATTTGATAACGCTTTAATATTCATTCATAATTCATCTCAACATCTCATAAGTCACACTAGTAGTTGACATAACAAGTCGCTTTAATTAGAAGTCTCTCTCTTTTTACATAAAAACTCACAACACTCAAAATTTCTTGCTAAGTTCCTTATTTGTAAATATTTCTCGTATTTAAACAAAAAAAAAGAAAAGAAAAAAAATGATCATCTAACTTCTTAATCCCGTTAGATTTAGATATTCTCGTGCTTAAAAGATTTAATTTATGACGACAAAAAAAGATTTAACTTATCAATTTATTTTATTAAAGAAAAAAATGGAAGAAAAGGAAAAAGAGTGATCGTGTGTGTCATCGTGCCGGTGTACAGGAAGGAAAGGCTTCCGCCGATTATCGTTTCTTCCCCCATATCCCCTTCCGTCTCTCGCAGCGTACTAAACAGCACTGGTAAGCTTTGATTTTGCTTCGTTTTAGCTCTAGTTCCTTTTTTTTTTTCTCCATATATTTTTTGTTATGTCTCTTTTTGGGATCGCTCTCTCAGGTTTTAGACTTCATTAAAAACCATAAATTTGTTTGGGTGGAATTCTCTGTTACTTATTGTAGCACCCTCTTTCGTATCCCACTGAAATTAAGTTCAAATTATCTGGAATTTGACTTTCCTTGAAGTTTTTTCTGATCAATTTCATCATTCGTATCCCACTAAAGTTTACATCAACATTATTTCCAATTTCATTGCTTTGAAGTTTTATTTTCCCGATCAATGTATGTCGCAGGAGACGACAATGGAAATATCAGACGATCCTCCCGGTTTGGGTGTTCTAGGAACACCGGTTAAGCCTCGGCAGTTTCAGAAATTCTATGTTCGACGAAAAAGTATCAAGCTTTTGAACATGTCACATAACAATGGCCCTGCAGTTTCTCCACAAGAGATCAAAGCTTCTGAATTGGTGAATGCAGCTTCTTTGACAGACTCCAACGCAGACAATGTTAGCAAAGAGGAGCTTGATAAGAATGGTTTTCCCCATGTTGGTTGTGGTTTCATAGCTATGAAAAACAGTGAAGAATCAGAAGTTCCTAAAGGTAACAACTTGAATTCAGGCCGAGCTTCAATTTGATATCTAATGGCATGACCAATCTTACTTACTCCATTTATATCTTGTTTGGCTGTAAAAGATGATTCACAATGTGTTCATCGGACAGATCATTCAAAAGAGGAACTTGGAGCAAAGTGTGCGAAGTCAAAATTTCCTCAAGGTAAATGATTTCGTCTATAATAAATTTCTGTCTGTGATAGTTAGCTTATCTCATTATCATCTTATTGTTACTTAATCTTCTACATTTGTTTTATTTGATGCTGAAAGATGATTCAGTATACCATAATGGGAAAGAAAAAAAGACGAACCCCAAAGGAATACCAAAAAAGCAGAGATTCCATAGACCAAGGATTTTGGAAGAAGGAAGAAAACCAAGGATTCATACTACTACTCGGTTGAGAACTATATCCATGAAAACAAGTAAGAAGGAGAAAGACAATGAAGAGGAAGCTATAGTTGAGCCTGTGACTCCAGAAAAGCAGAGTTTTCCAAAGAGAAGAAAAAACGAGGCCAGAAGAAAGGTAGCTCGAAATTTGATCTTTGATGAAGAAACTGTTCCTAGTTGTCTCGAGCTCAGCAGGATTTTAGGACATAATTTTCCAAGAGGGAGAAAGAGGATGGCCACATTTCCTAGAAGAGATTTTCATGTTCTGATATCACCAATTTCATTATTTCCCATGCCAATTTGGAAAAAGAAATCAAGAAGGTGTAACCGTAGGAAAAATTTGGTCAGATGGGCTAAAATTGCTTTGTCTTTTGAATGTCTTGAAGAAACTTTGTCGTTGGTAGCAATTCATGCAGAAGACAAAGGTAATCTAAGTTCATTTTGTTTATCATTATATAGTCAAAGATTGTTTAATGATTTTTTATGACATTCTTTTTAAACCTTTTCGATGATATCTAATTTTATTGGTTATGTGTTTCTTGCAGGCATAAAAAACAGATTTAAAAGCAATGTAGCACCGAAGCTGGATTTGATGCACTCTAAACGCAAAAAAAGAACTAAAAATACTGTTGAACATCCTAAAGGTAATGTCCTTTCATCTCTCGTAAATGTTGAAGTAAAGATAGTTGTTAAGTGTTTATTTATATTTTTAGAAAGAGATTGCATAAGTATTCTTTTGTCACATATCTACTTTAAATGATTTTTTTTCTCTGATTTATGTAGTCCCAAAACAAAGGCTTAAAAAGCCTAAGGGTATTGACAAGCTCCTAATTAAAGAAACAAGTCATGGGAAAAATAATGAACTTTTATGTGTAGAAGATTTTCCAATTCAAATTGAAGGTAAACAATTTTTTTGGGTACAAGTTTTCACACATCCACTAAAATCTGATTTTTTAGTTTTCTTCTAATATCTCTTGTTATATTATTTGTATATTTGTGTTACAGAGACACTCATGACATTTTCTAGTTGTGTTGCTCCAAAGGTACGCAATAAAAGAATGAAAGACATTGCTGAGAATTTAATCCAGCAATTGAATTATCAAAAAGAACATGGTCTATCATCTCTAGCCGATGTTCCCTTGCACATCGAAGGTAATCACATTTTCCCTTACCATATTTTAGGAGGAAAAATCATTAAAGAAAATCCTGATTAGTATCTCCTACTTCTCAATTAAACCTTAATATTTGATTAGGTTTAGGAGCTTTCGGGGTTTTTATGGATTTTATGTTTTTTTGGATTGTTATGTACTAGTATCTAATTTTTGTATTTGTTATTTTTTTTACAGATACTCTTATGAGATCTGTTAATTATGAAGTTCCAAAACAGCCTATAAAAACAACTAAGGATGCCTCTAAGTTGATCAAAGAGATGAGCAAATTAAACATCAATAGAAGAGTAACAAGTTTGGGAAAGGCAAAGAAAAAACTTGTTACTGCAAAGGTTAAACTCGATCCTGAAACCATTAAAGAGTGGGAGTTGTTAATGGTGAATGATTCTCCAGACAGAGCATATGCTGACAAGGAAACAGAGTCCAAATGGGAAGAGGAAAGAGAGATCTTTCAAAGTCATATAGAACTTTTCATCAACCGGATGCATCTTTTACAAGGTACATTATTATAATCAGCCTGTGGTAATATTCATAACGAGCTTATACGGGTATACAATTTTGGTGCCTTTAATTATGTTCGTGGTTGCTGTTTTGCAGGCAATAGAAAATTCAAGCAGTGGAAAGGCTCTGTTGTTGATTCAGTGGTTGGAGTATTTTTGACCCAAAATGTTTCTGATTTTCTTTCAAGGTAAAATCCAAGTTTAAAATGCTTAGAAAAACCCTCAGATAAAAAAAAAATGTCTTTGCTCTGATTATGATTTTCTACAGCAATGCTTACATGAGTGTGGCTGCAAAATTTCCCGTTGCTGCAAAGCAAAATTTGGAAAGTCTACCATACTTCGTTGAGGAATCTCAAGAGGTTAAGGACTCAGTTGTTGATGGTCCAAGACCAACTCATAATGGGAATGATGATGCTAAAAATCCACTTGAGTTTGTCTCGTTGCCAGAAAAATTGGAACAGCATGAAGAAGATGCGAAAACAAAAAACAAAAAGATTGGTATTATGGAAGATGAGAACGTTGATTGGCCGAGTTTGAGAAAAAAGTACACAAAAGAAGGATTTCGGGACATGATGCATATGGACACTGTTGATTGGAATGCTGTGAGGTTATCTACTCAAAAAGTTCTTGCTGACACCATCATAAAACGAGGACAGCAAAATGGCCTTGCTAGGAAAATTTTGGTAAGACTTTTTTTTTCTTCTTCTCAAAAACCTTTAATGATAAATTGTTCTAAAGATTTGATACTAACATATTATTATCTTTTTCTCTATTTTCCTCTTTATAGAAATTCTTGAACATGGAAGCAAAACAAAATGGAACGGTAGATCTTGAATGGCTTCGAATGGCTCCATCGGATCTAGTGAAGTATGCTTATATATATGCTCTGGTTTCTTAGGTTATTCTTGGTGTAATTATTGAGAACAAATTATTAAAGTTCCGTATTGTTTTATCAGGAGATATCTATTGGAGATTGAAGGGATAGGGTTAAAAAGTGCTGAATGCGTACGACTGTTAGGACTTAAACATTCTGCTTTCCCGGTATGAAATCAAATTGTTACTGTTTTTCATTTGATATATATATATATATATATATATGTTGTTCCTTGACCACTATTATTGTTTCTGGATTTGTATAGGTTGACACAAATGTTGGGCGTATAGCAGTTCGGCTTGGTTGGGTCCCTCTTGAACCTTTATCAAATGGAGTTCAAATGCATCAGCTATTTCAGTTAAGTATTTTTTCAATCTTTTTTAAAAAGTAATAATGTATATATAGTTTACTAGAAGCTAAAAGCCCAACTACTTTCTTCATTTTAGTTACCCTTCAATGGATTCAATTCAGAAATACCTTTGGCCACGGCTCTGTAAACTTCCTCAAGAAACTCTGTAAGTTCAAATTTTAGTTTCAGCAATATTAGTTATTTGTAATACTATATGAACATGAATTGCTTATTTTTATACTATTTTGTTTGTAGGTACGAGCTACATTATCAGCTGATAACATGTGGAAAGGTGCACAAGACGAAAAAGCTTCATTATAACGTTATTTGTCAGTTAACCAAAACCATTACTCATTTGGCTTAAACCTTTGTCAACCACAGGTTTTCTGTACAAAGGTTATTCCTAACTGTAACGCGTGCCCAATGAAGTCAGAGTGCAAATATTTTGCAAGTGCATATGTCAGGTTACACTCTATTCTATGTTCTTTTTTTTTTTTGACTTATGAGTACAATATTTTTTTTCATAACCGTTATAAATGATTTTTTGAGTAAAGTTGACTTATCATGGGTTTTGTTTTTGCTTCAGTTCCAAAGTTCTTCTTGAAGGTCCAGAAGAAAAGAAACATGAGTCAGATACATCTATGCCTTCATATTCACATGATGATGTTGATGTGCATATGGCATCAAAGATAACCTCGATAGAAGAATGTGTTTCTTCCGAATACAGTAATCAAGCTAACTTTTGTGAACCAATGGTTGAGTTTCCGTCTTCTCCAATCGCGGAAATTCTAGACATCGAAGATACTCCTTGGAGAAGCCCTCGTCAGATATATGCTGAAGAAATTCCTGAAATTGACATTGACATAGATGCGCTGAAGAAAAACATAGTGGATGCACTTTTAACAGGTGGGAAGATGCTGCAGAGTTGCAATGACGAGATATCAAAGGCATTAGTAGTTCTGACTCCAGAAAACGCATGCATTCCAATGGAGCTGCCTCGTAAAACAAAGTATTATGATAGACTAAGAACTGAACACGTGGTGTAAGTATTTTCTTTTGTGTTTTTTTGCATTATTATCATATTATAAAGGCGATAATATTGGGATGTCTAATCTAATTGTTTGTTTTGCAGTTATGTGCTTCCTGATCACCATGAGCTTCTTCATGATGTAAGTATATATATATGCTCTAAAGTACTATTTCTTTTGCAATTATTTCGTATGATTTCTTATAAAATGTCTTTTTGTTTGTTTTATATTACAGTTTGAGAAAAGAGAATCTGATGATCCTAGTCCATACCTTCTTGCCCTTTGGCAACCAGGTATGCCTCGAGCAAAATTTTATCATCTTTCACGTAAGACAAAATTTTAGTTTTAAATTTTCTCTCTCATATTTGTAGGTGAAATGTCATACTCGTTTACACCACCAAAGAAGAAGTGTAACTCAGACGGATCGATACTCTGTACGATTAAGACTTGTTCTTATTGTTGGGCTATAAGGGAACAAAGCTCCAACGTTTATCGTGGAACAATCCTGGTAAATTGAATTTACAATATAACATTCTTACATTGTTAACTTGAACTTACATAGATGAATGCAATTGTACAGATCCCTTGTAGAACAGCAATGCGAGCAGGCTTCCCACTCAATGGAACATATTTCCAAACCAATGAGGCAAGTGTTGTGTTTTGTTTTCTTTCTGGAGAATAAATTGTAAGAATTTTCATTGAGCAAAGCAAGTTTTTTTTTTCCAGGTTTTTGCAGATCATGAGACGAGTCAGAGACCTATTGTCTTTAGTAGACAATTGTGTGATGGGTTAGAGAAGCGAGCACTATACTGTGGTTCATCAGTGACTTCCATTTTTCGATTTGTAGACGAAAGAAGGATTCAACTATGCTTTTGGACTGGTAACAAAACTGTCTAGTATTTGATATCTTTATTCACATTAATAATCTGAAATATTCGAATAACAACGATGTAATGATGAATGATATGCAGGGTTTGTATGTATGAGAGCATTTAATCGAAAGCATCGAAATCCAGAGGTACTCGTTCGAAGACTACACACCCCACCTGACGAGAGAGGAGAAAAGTACATGAGAGACGAATAATTTGTTTCTCTAATTTATTAGTTTTAAGCTAACAAAGAACTTTGTATTAGTTTCTGTGTTATTTTAGTTTTCTATCATTTGGGATCTGTGTACAAAATGAAGTTGGATATGTCGTGCAATCCAGCCTCTTCATAACATTTAGCAATTTGGTACAAAGATTCAGACCAAGTCCCTTCAATAGATGCCAAATCCAAGAGAAAAGCTGCGACATCCAAAGCAACTTGGATTGGATCTTTGCCTTTCTTCAAATCCTCAAGACGACCTTCATCACTCACTTTCTCCCTTATGAATTCGATTTGCTCGTCTTCCCATTGTGCAATACTAGCAACCTCCTGCATGTTTTTCACATGGTTAATGTCTTTAAAGTCTAGCACAACCGAAAAAGAATGAAGAAAAGAAACGTTGCCATGCCTCATAAGGACATCCTAAAGTCCACCAAGGTGATTTCAATGCTACTCTTGCTGCCTCTTTTGCTTCTGAATTACGTCCCACTCTGCAAATACGAAAGCCCGTAGATAAGTGTTTTCATCATACTCTGAAAAATAAAAACAGAGAGTTGCTGTAAGAATGTAACGTTACAAACTTCTGCAGTATGTTTGCATAATATACAAAAGGCCGTCCGAATCCCGGAAATAGGTCTTTCTTTGAGTAGAATTCTCCTGTCACCATAGCTGAAACCTTCCAGGAATAAAAAGAAAAGTCCTTTTAACAGTTTCAGAAGTGAGATTTACAGAGATATAGAATGTGATTATCATATGCTTAAAAGATTTCTTACATGATCTCCTTCTTCGAAATGCCGTAATACTTTTCGCTCCAACACATCTGGAAACAGTCCAACCTATACATTACCAACAAATAAACTAAATACTCTTCACTGTTGTGTACATAATGCGTTTCATCTATAAGTTCAGTAATGAGTTTTTTTTTTGGAAGCCTTGCCTTTTTTAAGACGTAGACATCGAGATTTTTAATCTGAGATTCAGCAAAAGCACCCTTTCTGTAAAGCTTCTCGCCTGCCTCAGCTGAAGCACGATAAAGTTCTGTCAGCTCTTGCGCATCTTCTTCAACCAGAATCCGGTGAATATACTCATCTACCTGAATATCAGAGACACTGTAAATTACTTCTCTTCAAAAGGATAGGCTACTTACAACAAGAAAGAGATGACTTTACATTTCTAGCTATAAGCCGGACTCCACTCCTCCAAACTTCAACAACAGGCATATCCATTCTGTTCTTGGATACACAAAGAAAGTTAAATTCAAGAAAATCCAAATTACATATATATCAAACCACTGCAAGAGTTACCAAGAATGATCCAAAATTTCTTACCCTGGAGGAGCAGTAGGCCATCTCAGAAGCGCAGTAACAGAGCCTACTTATACAATAATCACACGAAACAAATGTAAAGAGAAGCTGCAAAGAAGAAAGGGTAATGGAATCGATCAAGTGTGCGTCTTTACCTGAAGAATTCTCCGAAAGCGGAATAGCAAGAGGGATCAATCCCTGCTTAGCTCCAGGAGACATGATGGTTTCACCTGCAGATGAAATATGAAAACACCTAAGGTTTCTAACATATCTGTAAGTTTTCCTTTTTCCATTACAACAAATCCAGAATACCAAATTCCACATATTGCTATACCGAGGAAATCAGTAACCAAGAACTTTTATATCTGTTGTATCCCAAACCATACCATAAATTTGGAGATAATAAGAGAGAGAGAGAGAAAATTGACCGTTATTTAACCTCTTGTTTGAAGAACTTTGAGTAAGTGATGAAGATGCATTGGAGGTTCAGTGGCAGCAACATCTTTGATGAATGATACATGCCCTGCACAACAACTCTAATGGTAACTCAATCCCAATGTGCATTTGGAGATATATTACACATTAATTTATTAACATCAAGATTAATCTTAAAGAAAGCCACTACATTTGACAACAATAAAGAGAAATCTCAAGCACAAACACTCGACCATTTCTATCTTTCTACAACCACATTAAATTTCCACACTCTAAACACAAGAACAGAAAATTACAGAGGAAAAGCCGAGATTACCAGAAGAGCAACACGAGACGCTGGCTCTGGTATGACGCAAAGGGAGAGCTGTAAAAGGAGTCATGTGCATCAATAGCGAACCCATGGCTCCTTATCTCTCTATTGTCTCTTCGCTTCTCTTCTCTTCTCTCCATTTTTACTCTGCTTACTCAAAAGCTGCTCCTATTTTGGGCTTCGGCCACAAGTCAGTGTGATACAAAAGCTGATCCTATTTTGGGCTTCGGCCACAAGTCAGTGTAATAAATCTGGGCTTTTCGATTTTTCTTCGTCCCACTCCCAAACCCAAATACTAAAGACGCGTAACCGACATAAACCGTCAATAAATGAACAATAGGGAAGGTCAATTTTGTCAAACTACCGGTTTACAACCCCCGGTCTAGATCAGCCATATAATCAAATTACTCGGTGCCTTCGTCTCTGTCAATCTTTTTTTTTTTCCTTCTAGAGGATAATAATAATAAAAATCCGCGATAGACGACCCCTTTTCTTGTAGCTCGGCGTTACCAGACTCAACGAGTCGACTCGTCTCCCCCAAATCACCCGCCGGTACCACCATCTGAGCACTTCATTATTCATAGCCCGGATTTCTCCATGGAGATTTCCTCGGCCGAATCGCTATCCGTCTCTGGCGCGGCCGCTTCTGAGGTCGTATCGGAACCGTCGGTATCTTCTCCTTCATCCTCGTCCCTGTCTGCTTCGTCCCCGAATCAGGCCTCTTCCACCGCTTTCTCCACCATGGATCCCGCAGTTGCGACGACTGCAGGGTCGAGGTACGTTGATGATGACGAAGATGAAGAGGACGTTTGCAGGATCTGTAGAAATCCAGGGGATGCGGATAATCCGCTTCGGTATCCGTGCGCCTGCAGCGGGAGCATCAAGTTTGTGCACCAGGATTGCCTCCTTCAGTGGCTTAATCACAGCAACGCTCGTCAATGCGAGGTTTTGTTTCTTTTCCTTTTTTTTTTTTTTTTTTATTAATTGACATGCTTCTCGACAGAAGCATGTGCCGAAATTTTCTGATTTCCGATTACTAGTAGGATCTGGATTCTTGTTGATTTTGGATGTTTGAATTGAATGGAAATTTTGCTGGTTCAACATTTTTTTTTCCATTGCTTTTTCTGATTCTTCTAGATGGTTTGAGAATTTGTATGGGCCATTTCATACGATCTTTGTGCGCTCGTCTTTAACCAAATGCATGGTAGTGGGGTGTGAGTTCTGTTGTTTTGAGCTTGGCATCGATTGATTTGTAAAGGCTTAGCCTTGTTTATTGGTAACCTTGTTGTATACCGTCTTGTCACGGTTTGATGATAAATATGATCACTTTATGTATTTTTTCCCTCAGCAGTGAGCTTGAATAGCCTAAACTTTACAATTCAGTTTTCGATAATAGAGTGATTGAATGTTATTGTTAATTTGATCTGCCAGGTTTGCAAGCATCCTTTTTCGTTCTCCCCTGTGTATGCTGAAAATGCTCCCACAAGGCTTCCTTTCCAGGAGTTTGTAGTTGGCATTGCGATGAAAGCCTGCCATGTTTTGCAGTTCTTCCTGCGGTTGAGTTTTGTGCTTTCTGTCTGGCTTCTCACTATTCCTTTCATTACGTTTTGGATATGGCGACTGGCATTCGTGCGGAGTTTTGGTGAAGCTCAGAGGTTGTTCTTAAGCCACATCTCCACCACAGTTATCCTCACCGATTGTTTGCATGGCTTCTTACTGTCGGCTAGTATCGTCTTCATTTTCCTTGGAGCGACTTCATTGAGGGATTACTTTAGGCATTTGCGAGAGTTGGGAGGACAGGAAGAGAGAGAAGATGAAGGGGAGAGAAATGGTGCTCGTGCTGCAAGAAGACCTGCTGGACAGGCTAATAGGAATCTCGCTGGAGACGGGAATGGCGAAGATGCTGGAGATCAGGGTGCTGCTGCTGGTCAGATCGTCAGAAGGAACCCTGAAAATGTTCTGGCAAGGTTGGACATACAAGCAGCCCGTCTCGAGGCTCAGGTTGAACAAATGTTTGATGGTTTGGACGACGCTGATGGTGCAGAAGACGTTCCATTTGATGAGCTGGTTGGAATGCAGGGTCCGGTGTTCCATTTGGTTGAGAATGCCTTTACTGTAAGTTGAATGTTTCTCCTCTTGCTGATTTACTTATTTTTTATTCCATTTTCACTTGTCGTTCACTTTGGCCTCTCATTAAAATCTTCTTGACGTGCATAATTCTGCAGGTTTTGGCAAGCAATATGATTTTCCTTGGTGTTGTGATCTTTGTACCCTTCACATTGGGACGGGTTATATTGTATCATGTGTCGTGGCTTTTTGCTGCTGCTAGAGGCCCTGCTGTGACCGCATCGATGCATTTTATAGATTCTGGACTGTCATTGGAAAATATAACTCTGAAGAGTGCGTTGACTTCTGTCTCAAATTTGACCAACGAGGGTCAAGAAAATGGACTGCTAGGTCAGCTCACGGATATGATGAAAGTCAATGGAAGTGAATTGAATGGAGCAAACAATACGCTATCTGTTGCTGCTGATCTCTTGAAAGGTTCTGTTACTGGATCATCGAAGCTATCTGATGTTACAACTTTGACTGTTGGGTACATGTTTATAGTCTTTCTGGTGTTTCTTTACCTTGGGATCATTGCACTAATTCGGTATGCCAAGGGTGAGCCACTGACCGTTGGGAGATTTTATGGTATTGCTTCTATAGTAGAGGCTGTTCCATCCCTCGTTAGGCAGTTCTTGGCAGCAATGAGGCATCTGATGACTATGATTAAAGTTGCCTTTCTTTTGGTCATCGAGCTTGGGGTCTTCCCCCTGATGTGTGGGTGGTGGTTAGATGTTTGTACGGTTAGGATGTTTGGTAAAACAATGTCCCACAGAGTACAGTTTTTATCAATTTCTCCACTGGCAAGCTCACTTGTTCATTGGGTTGTTGGAATCATGTACATGCTGCAAATAAGCATCTTCGTCAGCCTTCTTCGAGGGGTACTGTGTTTTCCTGCTCGTGCTTTTATTTTAGAAACACGTTTCTTCTCCGCTGCTATCTAATCTGTTTTTCCTTTTTTGTGCCAATTGCAGGTTCTTCGCCCTGGAGTTTTATATTTCCTTCGTGATCCTGCAGATCCTAATTACAATCCGTTCCGAGATTTGATTGATGATCCAGTACACAAGCATGCACGGAGGGTTCTGTTATCTGTTGCAGTGTATGGGAGTTTAATTGTCATGCTGGTATTTTTACCAGTCAAACTTGCGATCCGGATGGCTCCTTCAATCTTCCCGCTAGACATATCGTAAGATATATTGACTTCTTGAATTTTGGAGATTTTGTGCTTGAGTAGTTCCTAACTTGTTGCATCTATGCAGTGTATCCGACCCTTTCACTGAGATTCCAGCCGACATGCTCTTGTTTCAAATATGCATACCATTCATTATCGAGCATTTTAGACTCCGGACCACAATTAAGTCCCTTCTACGCTGCTGGTTCACCGGCGTCGGTTGGGCTCTCGGTTTGAATGATTTCCTCTTGCCAAGACCAGAGGACAACATTGGCCAGGACAATGGAAATGGTGAACCAGGAAGGCAAAACAGAGCACAAGTATTGCAGGTCGGTGGACCTGACAGGGCCATGGCTGCGCTTCCAGCAGCTGATGATCCTAACAGAAATCTTCTCCGCGCTGGGAGTGTCAACACAGGTGAGGAGTATGAAGATGACGAAGAGCAGTCTGATTCAGAGTAAGTTCTAACTTAAGAAACAAGCTATTTTGATGTTTAGAAATCGTGCATACTTAAATAACAGAAGTGTTCGCTTGATTTTAGAGTTGACTATGTACATCAACATTTACATTAGGTCTTCCCCTGAAAGAAAAGTTTTTTTTTTAGCAGGTACAATTTCGTGGTCCGGATTATCCTTCTTCTACTTGTTGCATGGGTTACTCTTCTTCTCTTCAATTCGGCATTGATAGTTGTACCAGTTTCTCTTGGGCGTGCTCTGTTTAGTGCCATCCCAGTTCTCCCAATAACGCATGGCATCAAATGCAACGGTAATTCTGTTAACTTTGATATGTTGCTTCATTCTTTCACACGGTCACACATAATTAACAGTCTCTCTCCTGAATCTGTAGACCTGTATGCTTTCGTCATTGGCACATATGCCTTTTGGACTTCCATATCTGGGGCAAGGTATGCTATTGAGCATGTCAAGTCGAAAAGGACTTCAGTCTTGCTTAACCAAATATGGAAATGGTGTGGGATTGTCTTCAAGAGCTCGGTGCTGTTGGCCATATGGGTAAGTGGTTTGTGCAAACTTGTTGTTTTTACGATTTGTGAGATACTCCAAAATCATGCGACTCTGGATTATATGTATTTAAAATGGTAACTGAACAGGTTTTCATCATTCCGGTTCTGATCGGACTTCTGTTTGAGCTTTTGGTGATTGTCCCAATGAGAGTCCCAGTAGATGAAAGCCCTGTCTTCCTCCTGTATCAAGATTGGGCTCTTGGGCTCATCTTTTTGAAGATCTGGACTAGACTGGTAAGTAGAGTAAATTTCTCCCCTTGGTAATTTCTACGGCATCAAAAGAGATACGTATGTTGTAACAAAATAACGACGACAATGGAACAGGTAATGCTGGATCATATGCTTCCGATAGTGGATGATAGCTGGAGAGCAAAGTTTGAGAGAGTAAGAGAAGATGGCTTCTCAAGGCTTCAAGGGTTATGGGTACTTAGAGAGATTGTCTTCCCGATCATGATGAAACTCCTAACAGCATTATGCGTGCCTTATGTCCTGGCCAGAGGAGTGTTCCCAATGCTCGGATATCCGCTTGTTGTGAACTCGGCGGTCTACAGATTCGCTTGGATAGGTTGTCTCTCGGTGAGCCTCTTTTGCTTTTGTGCAAAAAGATGCCATGTCTGGTTCAGAAACCTTCACAACTCTATCCGCGATGACCGGTATCTCATTGGTCGGAGGCTACACAACTTTGGGGAAGCTGCTTTGGCTAGCCAGAACCAAAACCAAAGCAGTGAGGATGCAGGAGATGGTGGGGTCCTGATAGGGCGTGAGGGAGATGCTGATACTGGACTTAGGCTCAGACGTGCAATCCAGCAAGAAGCGTAGAAAGAATAGAGTTTTTTCAGGTGATGAATCAAATTCGAACAGTTCACCGAGTTGTTTAACACTTGTGTACCTAAGCCGTAAGGGTTTGGCTTTGAAAGATTTTTTTTTAGTCGATGTGTAATTATATCCGTTTGAGTCCTCTTTTTTTTTCATATATTAAAACTAAAAGATCCTTAGAAACAAGTCAATAACGCTTTGTTCATATTTGTGTTGTAATGTTTTGTATTAAATCAAAGTCTTATGAGCAGTCTCTTATCTAAGTGCATTGTAAGGCTTTGAAGATTTAATTGGTTTGTCTTCTCCATTTTCTTTGGGATGAGCTAAGATTTCTTTAGAATAAGGCTTTCTTGTTTATAGAACAAATTGAAATGCAAACCTGCCAACATGTGTAATATAAACAACATGATATGAAATTTATATCCATCATCATGCTTAATCTTACCACTTTTCGTATGATAAACACGAAAATAACAATTTAGTTTTAATAATAAAAACAAGCATGTTCGTGCGTAGCACGCGTCGTAACATGTATATGGGATTATTTTTTCTTTTTTCTGGCTCAAAAGCATTATAATTAACAAGTCCTAAACCCCTCTCTTTCATTCTCTCCTCAGTATCTGCTCAACTCAGCTCGAGGTTCAGGCCTCTCCCTCCGCTTTCTCCACCATGGATCCCTCAGTTGCGACAGCGAAAGGATCGAGCTATATTGATGATGAAGAAGATGAAGAGGACGTTTGCAGGATCTGCAGATATTCAGGGGATGCGGACAATCCGCTTCGATATCCGTGCGCCTGCAACGGGAGCATCAAGTTTGTGCACCAGGATTGCCTCCTTCAGTGGCTTAATTACGGAAACGCTCGTCGATGCGAGGTTTTGCTTCTATCTCTCTTGCTTATTTCAGTATATTATCGATTGTTGTGGTTCGATTTTGTCGATTTCGGTTGTCCATTGATTTTTCTGATTCTTCGAGATGGTTGTTTGCGAGTTTGGGTAAATGATTATGAATGGGACATTTAATCTCTGCAGGTTTGCAAGCATCGTTTTTCATTCTCCCCAGTGTATGCCGAAAAGGCTCCCACAAGGCTCCCTTTCGTGGAATTTGTAGTTGGCGTTGCGATGAAACCTTGCCGTTGCCGTGTCTTGCACTTGTTTCTCCGGCTGGCTTTTGTGCTTTCGATCTGGTTTCTCGCTATTCCTTTCATTACATTTTGGATATGGCGATTTGCTTTTGTGCGGAGTTTTGACGAAGCTCAGAGGTTGTTCTTATGCCACATCTCCACCACAGCTATTCTCATCGGCTTCTTATTATCGGCCTGTGTTGTCTTCCTTCTCCGTGGAACGACTGCATTGAGGGGTTACTTTAGGCATTTGCGAGAAGATGTACCGTTCTACGAGCTGGTTGGAATGCAGGGTCCAGTGTTCCATTTGGTTGAGACTGCCTTTGATGTAAGTTGAATGTTTCTCCTCTTGCTGATTTATTTATCCCTTGTCGTTCACTTTTGGCCTCTAGCTAAAATCTTCATGATGTTTATAATTTTGCAGGTTCTAGCAAGCAATGTGATAGTCATTGGCATTGTGATCTTTGTGCCCTTCACATTAGGACGGTTTATCTTGTATCAGGTGTCCTCGCTTTTTGCTGCTAGAGACCTTCCCGTGACCGCATCAATGCATCTTATCGATACTGGACTGTCATTGGAAAATATAACTCTGAAGAGTGTGCTGACTGTTGTCTCAAATTTGACTAACAAGGGCCAAGAAAACGGACTGCTTGGTCAGGTCATGGAAATGGTGAAAGTCAATGGAGGTGAATTGAATGGAGCACACGATACTCTATCTGTTGCTGCTGATCTCTTGATGCTGTCTGATGTTACAACTCTGACCGTTGGGTACATGTTAATAGTCTCTCTGGTGGTCCTTTACCTTGGGATCATTGCGCTGAATCGATATGTCAAGGGTGAGCCACTGACTATTGGGACCTTTTATGGTATGGCTTCTATAGTAGAAACTGTACAATCTCTCCTTAGGCAGTTCTTAGCAGCAATGAGGCTTGGAATCAGAGTCGCCTTTTCTCTGGTCTTTGGGTTTGGGGTTTTCCCCCTGATGTGTGGGTGGTGGCTAGATGTTTGCACGATTAGGATGTTTGGTAAAACAATGTCCCACAGAGTAGAGTTTTTATCAGTTTATCCACTGGCGAGCTCAGTTGTTCATTGGGTTGTTGGTCTGATGTACTTTTGGCAAGTCTTCATATTCGAGAACCTTCTTCGAGAGGTACCGTGTTTCTTGCTCATACTTTTTTTCCTGGAAACAGGTGTTTTCTCTGCTACTTTCTAATATTGTTTTCCACTTTTGTGCCAACTGCAGGTTCTTCGCCCTGGAGTTTTGAATTTCCTTATAGATCCTGCAGAAGAGGATTATACATTTCAAGATTTGATTGGTGGTTCAGTGCGCCTGCTTGCTCGGGATCTTTTATTTGAATCTGCAGAGTTTGGGTGTTTGATTGTCATGCTGGTATATTTACCTGTCAAACTTGCGCTATGGATGGCCCCTTCCATCTTCCCGCTCGACATATCGTAAGAAATATTGGCTAACGTTTTTGGAGATTGTGTGTGAGAAAGCTTTTCCTAACTTGTGTGCATCTTAGCAGTGTATCTGATCCATTCACTGAGATTACTGCCAGCGTGCTTCTGCTTCAAATATGCATACCACTTATCATCGAGCATTTCGGACTCCAGACCACAATTAAGTCCCTTCTACGTTGCTGGTTCACCGGTGTCGGTTGGGCGCTTGGTTTGACAAACTTCCTATTGCCAAGACCAGAGGAAAACATTGGTCAGGACAACAGAAATGGTGAACCAGGAAGGCAAAACAGAGCACAAGTATTGCAGGTCGGTGGACCTGACAGGGCCATGGCTGCGGTTGCGGCAGCTGGAAATGTCAAAACGGGCGAGGAATATGAAGAGGATGAAGAACGATCTGGTTCTGAGTAAGTTTACTTAAGAAATAAGCTTATATTTTGATACTGAGAATATGTGCATGCTTGAAGTAATTAACTGGAATGTTTGCATGGTATATAGAGTTGACTAGGTGCATCAAGATTTCCAAGGCCGTACCCTGAAATGAACGTTATATTTTAGCAGGAACAGCTTTGTCCTCCGGATAATCACCCTTCTACTTGTTGCATGGGTGACTCTTCTTCTCTTCAATTCAGCATTGATAGTTGTGCCAGTCTCGCTTGGGCGTGCTCTATTTAGTGCCATCCCACTTCTCCCAATAACTCACGGCATCAAATGCAATGGTAATGTCTGTTAATTTTTGACAATCCGCCTCGATCATTCAAACGGTTACTCACATAATTAACAGAGTCTCTCCTGAATCTGAAGACCTGTATGCTTTCGTCATTGGCACATATGCCTTTTGGACTTCCATATCTGGGGCAAGGTATGCTATTGAGCATGTCAAGTCGAAAAGGACTTCAGTCTTGCTTAACCAAATATGGAAATGGTGTGGGATTGTCTTCAAGAGCTCGGTGCTGTTGGCCATATGGGTAAGTGGTTTGTGCAAACTTGTTGTTTTTACTATTTGTGAGATACTCCAAACTCATGTGACTCTGGATTTTATGTATTTAAAATGGTGACTAAACAGGTTTTCATCATTCCGGTTCTGATCGGACTTCTGTTTGAGCTTTTGGTGATTGTCCCAATGAGAGTCCCAGTAGATGAAAGCCCTGTCTTCCTCCTGTATCAAGACTGGGCTCTTGGGGTCATCTTTTTGAAGATCTGGACTAGACTGGTAAGTACAGTGTATTTCTCCCTTTGGTAATTTCTACGGCATCAGAAGAGATATGTTTTAACTAAAATAACGACGACAATGGAACAGGTAATGCTGGATCATATGCTTCCGATAGTGGGTGATAGCTGGAGAGCAAAGTTTGAGAGAGTAAGAGAAGATGGCTTCTCAAGGCTTCAAGGGTTATGGGTACTTAGAGAGATTGTGTTCCCGATCGTGATGAAACTCCTAACAGCATTATGCGTGCCTTATGTCCTGGCCAGAGGAGTGTTCCCAATGCTCGGATATCCGCTTGTTGTGAACTCGGCGGTCTACAGATTCGCTTGGATAGGCTGTCTCTCGGTGAGCCTCTTTTGCTTCTGTGCAAAACGATGCCATGTCTGGTTCAGAAACCTTCACAACTCTATCCGTGATGACCGGTATCTCATTGGTCGGAGGCTACACAACTTTGAGGAAGCTTCTTACTGCGCGAAACGATAAACGAAAACTAATACCAAAACCAAAACAGTGAGGATGCAGGAGATGGTGGTCTGTTGATAGGACGTGAAGGAGATGCTGACCTGATACTGGACTTAGGCTCCGACGTGCAATCCAACAAGAAGCTTAGAATGAATAGTGTTAACTAATGTACAGTAGCATTTCTTATTAGATTAGGCTATCTTAATATTTCTTATTAAAGCAAGTTCTAATTCACAGACAATAGGTAAATTAAAAGTGAGTTGTAGTCTACTGATTCACCCTATTATAATCTTGATTTGTTCAGAATTTTACTAATGTTTTTTCATTCCACAGATCATACATGTACACTACAAAATTTGAATTTGAGTAAAGATATTGCGATGACGTTACGTTAGAACAATGTTTTCAAAATTCAAACTTCAAACCTTTAGACTAATTAATTGTTATTTTTCAAATTAAGTTGGGTAACTAATCAGATTAAATTGCTAGAATGCCAAGGTGTCGGACACGCGCGCGTGTGTCTGACTTTTCCGTAAGAGACAAGAACGAAGACCTTATCACCACAACTCGAAGAAAACTAATCTCACTTCTTACGTTTTACTTCAGACTCAATCCAACGGCTGAGATCTTCCACAAATCTATCTCTAGGGTTCTAGGGAAATAAAAATATTTTCGTAATATAAAAGCAGAGAAAAGAAAAACCGCAATGCTTCTCTCTCTCATCTTTCGCAATTCGTTTCGCCTTGAATCTCTCGCCCCAATATCTCACTCGCCGTCGCAGGCTTCGCCGCCGGCAAGTTCTTACCCTTTTCTTCTTCCCTCTCCTCTGATATCCCCACAGAAAAAAAAAGTACAACGAAAAGATAAAAAAATTCGCTTAGCTTTGTTTGATTTTGTCTTCCGCTTCATTTTTCCTTTGTTATCCAGTTATTTCGATTTGGTTTCAGTCTAATAACGAGAGGGGAGGGAAGAACTATTAAAACCCCAAAAAAAGTCAAAAAAGTTTTAAAAATCCAAAAAGAGAATGGCGCAGGTTCAACTTCAGGGTCAGACTGCGAATGGCTCGAGCGTGGCTATCACCTCTGCGGCGGCGCCGGCAGCGGGAGCACCGGCGGCCCAGTTCGGTACGACGTCGCTCTATGTGGGGGATCTGGATTTCAATGTGACCGATTCGCAGCTTTTCGATGCGTTTAGCCAAATGGGTCAAGTGGTCTCTGTTCGAGTATGTAGGGATTTAGCTACTCGCAGATCGCTCGGCTATGGATACGTCAACTTCACCAATCCCCAAGATGGTAAGCCTCCTGAATTAGAACAAGCAATATCCAATTCTGTAGAATGTGAAAAGGGTTAGGGGATATTACTGATACTGGATTTCTCTAGGGTATGTTGGAAATGTTGAATCTTTCGGGTGTTTATGCATATCCAATGTGGTTGATGCCTTTTGCAGTGACTTTTATGCCCTGATTAATCTAATGATACTTTATGTTGTGCTCTCTGTTGCAGCTGCAAGAGCGATCCAGGAACTGAATTACATACCTCTTTATGGAAAACCTATAAGGGTTCTGTATTCTCATCGTGATCCTAGTGTTCGCCGAAGTGGCGCTGGTAACATATTTATCAAGGTACTTTTTTGATGATGCTCTACATTCGAGTTGCTTGAAGACGAGATGATTGTTTGGGAAAATATTGAATCTTGTTTTATCCCATTGAGAATTCTGAAAAAAAAGTAGTTGTTTTTTTATCAGTTGTGTGGTTTATTTGGGTTTCTCACTTTCTTTCCGGTGGCTAAACGTGGCTATAAATTTGCAGAATTTGGACCTGTCCATCGACCACAAAGCGCTACACGATACATTTTCAACCTTTGGGAACATTGTGTCGTGTAAGGTAGCTGTGGATGCTTCAGGCCAGTCAAAGGGGTATGGGTTTGTGCAATATGCCGATGAGGAATCTGCCCAGAAAGCTATCGAGAAACTGAACGGCATGTTGCTTAATGACAAGCAAGTGTACGTGGGTCCTTTTCTGAGGAGACAGGAAAGAGACTCGACTGTTAACAACACGAAATTCACCAATGTGTACGTGAAGAATCTGGGGGAAAGTACTGCCGATGATGACTTGAAGAACGCTTTTGGCGAGTATGGAAAGATAACAAGTGCTGTGGTGATGAAAGATGGAGATGGGAAGTCGAAGGGCTTCGGTTTTGTGAACTTTGAGAATGCTGATGATGCTGCGAGGGCTGTGGAGTCTCTCAATGGGCACAAATTTGATGATAAGGAGTGGTATGTTGGTAGAGCCCAGAAGAAGTCGGAGAGGGAAACAGAACTAAGGGTCCGTTATGAACAGAATTTGAAGGAAGCTGCTGACAAGTTTCAAAGTTCAAACTTGTATGTCAAGAATTTGGATCCAAGCATTTCTGACGAGAAACTCAAAGAGATATTTTCTCCTTTTGGTACCGTTACATCTTGCAAGGTCCGATATCCATCTCTCTCTTTTGATCTGTAGTGAGTTAAATCTATTGATTGACTATATAAGAATATCTTCATAATGGAACATAACAGGTGATGCGGGATCCTAATGGGTTAAGCAAAGGCTCGGGTTTTGTTGCTTTCTCAACTCCTGAAGAAGCAACAGAAGCTGTAAGTCCGCTTATATAGTCTTGTTGAATAAATGTGTGAGGAAAGGTATTTCGACTGTTAGTAACAGTGAATTTCTTTACAGATGTCACAGCTGAGTGGTAAAATGATCGAAAGCAAGCCACTCTATGTTGCCATTGCACAGCGCAAGGAAGACAGGAGGGTCAGACTACAGGTTTGCTTCTCTTGAAATTACATCTTCTTGTGATATACCAACTACTCCTACTTCGTCTGTTTGTGTGTCAATTTTGAAAAATTGGACCCATAATATCTCTGAGTCTGAAAATGATCAACTGTGATGAGAATAGGAAAAGGACTTCAATTAGTACTGATTTCTGATTGTACTAAGAAATAAAGTCCAACTATGTTATCAGACTTGTTGATCACTTCCTGTTTTCTTGTTTTGTATTTGAAATCATTCTTGTATTTATATTACATACTTCTCTCATTTTAACTCCTGCTGCTGAGTGTGTACATGAATGTGAACAGGCTCAGTTTTCCCAAGTGAGGCCAGTTGCAATGCCGCCATCTGCTGGTCCTCGCATGCCAATGTATCCCCCGGGTGGTCCTGGTATTGGACAACAAATGTTCTATGGTCAGACCCCTCCTAACATGATCCCTCCTCAGGTAATCATCATTTTTGTTGTACTGTCTGCGATTGTCCGATTCTATTTCGAAACTGTTTGGGTAACATTAACATGTGATTGTGTAATGCCACAGCCCGGCTATGGGTTCCAACAGCAGATTGTTCCTGGAATGAGACCTGGTGGGGGACATGGACCCAATTTCTTCATGCCTATGGTTCAGCAACAGCAGCAGCGTCCTGGAGGAGGAAGACGCTCTGGAGGGATCCAACAGTCCCAGCAGCAACTTCCCATGATGCAGCACCAGGTCCTTTCTCAGTTGCAATAAGAACTGTTTTGCTTGCTCGTCTCTCTTTTAACAATGGTTTATTTTTGCTGTGCGGGTGGTGATCAGATGCATCCAAGGGGTCGGATGTTCCGGCATCCTCAAGGGCGTGGTAATGGTGGGGATGTGCCTCCATTTGACATGCCATTGCCTATTGGAGCTTTGGCCTCAAATCTGGCTAATGCTTCTCCGGAGCAGCAGAGGACGGTGAGAGAATCTCTAAAAGACCCATTTAGAGATTTCTGCTTTTGTTTGGGATTATTATAAGGATGTTGGGAATAACTCTGGTGTGTGTGTGTATACAGATGCTGGGTGAGAATCTGTACCCGTTGGTGGAGCAGCTAGAGGCAGAGTCTGCAGCCAAAGTGACTGGGATGCTTTTGGAGATGGACCAGACCGAAGTTCTGCATCTGTTGGAGTCACCAGACGCTCTCAAGGCCAAAGTTGCAGAGGCTATGGATGTTCTCAGGAGCGTTGCTGCTGGTGGTGCAGCCGAGCAGCTCGCTTCCTTGAACCTCTCTTAGCTTGTCTTTTCCCTTTGAATCTTTGCCATCTTCTGCCTCTCCCATACAATTACAATTGGAGTCGTTTCTTTTCTTATTCGTTTTTCTTCTCCCTGGGAATTTGGATTCCTCATAACTGCTTTTTGTGTGGTTTTAACTTTCTTTGAGATTCAAAATTAAAAAAAAAAAAACGTATGTGCTTTCTTTTGCTTAAGGAATGATTTGCAGTTACAGTATTTGACCACTATCTGTCTCTTTATATCGGTTTAAAATCAAGATGATTGAAAGGAAAATGGTATCAATAAGGCCAATGCTAGTGATACCCGTCTTTGCCCTTTTGATTAACTCATTCTGGTTGAAAAAAATGAATGAATGATCTTAGTTAACACAAATTTGTTCTTCATGTTTAATATGAGAACAAATATAGACTACATTTTGTATTTACAGACAATATTCGGGGTTTCACACATGAACTTTCCATCACAATGTGCACTTTTGACAACTAGATGACATTCGGTCCGAAACATAGAACCTTGAGAAAAAGTTGATTTCAAATTTGTGAACCTCATGGGAAAGTATATAACACTTGTCAAGTTTCTAGATATTTTTATTTCTCATGTCAACGATAACGACGTAAAAATCCAGCAACACTTAAAACCAAAAGAGGGTTCAAATTAGGGTTTCTTCTTGGATCGAATATGGACTTTTTTTACTTTTTTGACGAAAAAAATGAAGTAGCGTAAATAAGCCGACCGACCAATCAACCATATACCAAAATTGATATGTGGCTGTGTCCCCACCACCACACCTATCACACACACAACTTGTCCACTTTTTCCCCGAATTTTACCACCCAATCAAAACAAAGTCTCTCTTTCCTCTTCTTCTTCTTCTTCACCTCCTCTCTCTCCTTTTACAATTTTTATTATACCTTTGAATCTCCCAGATTTCACCAAAAAGAAATATTTTTTAATTGGAATCCGCGTGTAACAGAGGATAAGCGATTATGGGTTCGATCTCTTTGTCCAATTCTATGCCCATAACGCGACTTCCTCTACTTACATCACTCAATCAATGCCTTCCTCCGACTCCTACCTCCTTCTCCCTTTCTCCTCTCTCGAATCGTCGTCGCTCCACTTTCTCCCCTTTAATCGCCGCATCTGCCGTCTTCGCAGCTCCTGCCGGCGTTAATAACTCCGTTCCCGTGAGTGAAAGCCATAATTTTTACCCTTTCATCTCCCCACAAAAATATTGAAATTTGTTTGCTTGATGCTGTGTGCGATTTTGTTGGCTTGTTGGTGGGTTTCAGGCAAGAAACGGGGGCTACACAGTTGGGGATTTCATGACAGGGAGACAGTATTTGCATGTTGTTAAGCCCTCGACCTCGGTTGATGATGGTAATTATTCCTTTAAGAAGAAACACAACCGTTCCTTGTAATCTCTATCAACCCAAGTCTCTAAATCTGTCTTTTTTGGTTATCTTCCTTGAATTTTTAACAGCATTGGAACTTCTGGTTGAGAAGAAAGTCACGGGATTGCCTGTAATTGATGATGATTGGAATCTGGTAAAAAGCTTCTCTTTTGTCATTTGTGTTGAAAGATGCTTGAAAACCAAGCTCGTGATTGACCATCATAGTCACAAAACATAAACCCTTAGCGGTTTGATTACATATGTATATGCTTCATCTGTCTGAGATCTTTCTTACTCCTCTCTGCTGTAACTTCTCCCGCAGGTTGGCGTTGTTTCTGATTACGATTTGCTTGCACTGGACTCCATTTCTGGTAATATATTCAAGTTTTTGTACCTAAAGTTTGTTTGAGTCGTCTTTCTGTGATGATCATCAAAGTATAATGGGTTTCAGAGTCATTTTATTAGACAAAGAATAGTTTCATCAGTTAGGAAGGAGCTGAGTCATAATTCATTTTTGCTGGACTTTAGGTGGATCTTAGTATTGTTGGCACATAACTTTGTTGTCCAGAGCGTTTATGGATTTGTTATGGTGAAGCAACCTAACCTCTTTCCGTCTTTTGTGTTATAGGCCGCAGCCAAAATGATACAAACTTGTTTCCTAACGTCGACAGTACCTGGAAAGTATGTTTCTCTCTACCTATCTATTTTTCTCACCATTTAGTGGTTGTCCCATATGCATGAGACTCTCTTGGGAACTTATATCATATGATATTTGGACTTGTCTTTTTGGCAGACGTTTAACGAGCTCCAGAAACTGATAAGCAAGACACACGGAAAAGTCGTTGGAGACTTGATGACGCCTTCTCCTCTGGTTGTCCGTGGTTCTACCAATTTAGAAGATGCAGCCAGGTTTCCTCCTCGTAGAATCTGACTTCATTCATTCCGTTTTCCCTTTCTTTTTTTTCCTAGTGGCATTATCAACATTTCTTACAAGATCTGTAACCATTTTGTCTCCAGGCTGCTTCTCGAAACAAAGTTCCGAAGATTACCAGTGGTGGATTCAGATGGAAAACTGGTGAGAGAATCTTCAAGTCACACAATTTTTTTCTTCTTCTTCCTCTTTTATCAGATTGATTTGGTCTGATCTTCTGGTGTTTTATTGTTTGCTTGAAACAAGATCGGGATTCTTACAAGGGGGAATGTCGTAAGGGCCGCACTGCAGATCAAGCGGGAAACCGAGAACTCTACATAGCTAAAGAGCAACAGTTATAGAGCAGAGCTCTTAAATCTGCCATAGTTAAATAGCAAATGTGTTTATTCCATTGATAAGTATATATAATATATATATGTGTACCCTCATTCCCTCTGTTCTCTACCCTCCACAAGCAAATTTTCCTCCAGGAGTAACATTTCTGAGACTAAAGAATTCAAGACGATTGCTATCTAATTACATACTGTATTTATTGTAATTTGTAAGCACGAGTCTCTACTTTTATCACCAAACACAAAGACCAAACATAATCGAACTCTGATTTTGCTCTGTTTTTAATATTCTCTCACTTAGCTCTGCTGAAGTCTCAATATTGGAAAGGAAAAGGAGAGGAAGACGAAACAAATTCAATAAATAATAATAATAATCTCCCAACAATATATATTTAATTACCTCAGCGATGCTCTCAAACTCCCTGCGTTTCCCGTCTCGTCGCCTCTCCCAGTTGAAAGTATCTCGGGGTCTAAGTTCTGTTCCGGCACCGGTATATGATGATTCCGAAGACGAACCTTTAGGATTCCCACCCAATGATCTTCGTCGCAGTAGTAGCGACGGTCTTTGTGTTAATGACCTCCTCGATGGCAATGGTGTTCCCGCCGTTAGACGTCTCTACAACATGCTCCTAAAGGAATGTACTGCCTCCAAGAGACTCACTCAGGGAAGGATCGTTCATGGCCACGTCACGAAATCTCTGTTCCGCTGTGAGCTCGTTATGAATAACACTCTCCTCAATATGTATGCCAAGTGCGGAAGCTTGGAAGAGGCTCGCAAAGTGTTCGACCAAATGCCTCAAAGAGACTTTGTCACTTGGACCACCTTGATTTCTGGTTACTCACAGCATGGTCGACCCCGTGATGCGCTACTCTTGTTTAATCAGATGCTGAGGCACGGGTTCAGTCCCAATGAGTACACTTTGTCTAGCGTGGTGAAAGCTGCCGCAGCTGAGACTCGTGGGTGTTGTGGTCACCAGCTTCACGGCTTCGCTCTCAAGTGCGGCTTCCATTTGAATGTTCACGTTGGCAGCTCTCTTCTTGATCTCTACGCACGCTATGGTCTTATGGACGATGCACAATTGGTTTTTGATGCGCTTGAGAGCAGGAATGATGTTTCTTGGAATGCTCTAATCGCTGGCTATGCTAGGGGATGTGGTACAGAGAAGACTCTTGAGCTTTTCCAACGGATGCTTAGAGAGGGTTTCAGACCTTCCCATTACTCGTACTCTAGCGTCTTTGGCGCTTGCTCCAGTACAGGGTTCTTGGAGCAAGGGAAATGGGTGCACGCGTATATGATCAAATCTGGCGAGAAGCTTGTGGCTTTCGCAGGAAACACTCTTATCGACATGTATGCAAAATCAGGAAGCATCCACGATGCGAGAAAGATATTCGATAGGTTGACTAAAAGGGATGTGGTGTCTTGGAACTCGCTGCTCACCGCTTATGCCCAACATGGATTTGGGAAAGAAGCAGTGTGCTTGTTCGAAGAAATGAGGAGTGCAGGGATTCTTCCCAACGAAATCTCGTTTCTCTCCGTGCTTACAGCTTGCAGCCACTCTGGTCTTCTAGATGAAGGGTGGCATTACTTTGAACTGATGAAGAAAGATGGGATAGTACCCGAGGCATGGCACTACGTCACGCTCGTAGATCTTCTTGGGCGGGCCGGTGCTCTTGATAAGGCACTGAGGTTTATCAGGGAAATGCCAATAAAACCCACTGCAGCCATCTGGAAAGCTCTGCTTAATGCCTGTAGAACGCATAAGAATATGGAGTTGGGAGCTTATGCCGCCGAGCATGTATTTGAACTTGACCCTGATGACTCTGGTCCCCATGTAATACTATATAACATCTATGCCTCAGGTGGCAGATGGAACGATGCTGCAAGAGTGAGAAAGAAGATGAAGGAGAGTGGGGTGAAGAAGGAACCTGCGTGCAGCTGGGTAGATATTGAGAACGCAACCCATATGTTTGTGGCGAATGATGAATGCCATCCCGAGAGGGAGGAGATTGGTCGCAAGTGGGAAGAGATTTATGCGAAGATCAAGGAGTTAGGGTATGTGCCAGACACCAGCCATGTAGTGGTCCACGTGGATCAACAGGAGAGGGAAGTGAATTTACAATATCATAGCGAGAAAATTGCGTTGGCATTTGCACTTCTCAAGACCCCTTCTGGATCAACCATACACATAAAGAAGAACATCAGGGTTTGTGGAGATTGCCATACAGCAATCAAGTTGGCGTCAAAGGTGGTTGAGAGGGAAATCATTGTGAGAGATACAAATCGTTTCCACCATTTTAGGGATGGTACTTGTTCTTGCAGGGATTATTGGTAGTCACCACTGAAGAAGACCAAGTGGCTTCAGCTGGTGTGTGTGTGGTATGAGTGATATTTGGAGAAAGAATGGTTTTGCCACTTTAGTACCCATCACTTATCTGATATATCTTACTTACTCCTCTGCTGCTGTATCTCCTGCAGGTTGGTGTTGTTTTTTATAACGACTTGCTTGCAGTGGACTCCCAACACGAGAGTATATTGCAACCATTAATAAGTTGAAACTTAGGACTTAGGAGTAATGAGAAGAACCCGATTTTTCCAGTGGCATTTATCTCTGACATTGACACACAAAGCAACATTTCTCACAAGATCTGTAAACATTTGTCTTGAGCCGTAAATGCAGATGGAAAACTGGTGAGAATCTCAGGAGTCACAGTCTTTTCTTCTTCTTGTTTTTTTTGTTCAGATTGATTTGTTTTGATCTTTTCAGTTGTTTTCTTTGTTTTGGCGCAACAAGATTAGGATCTTTACAAGTGGAAACGTAAGCGTTGCCCTGAAGATCGAACGGTAACCCCGAGAACTCTACATAACTAGAAAGCAACAGTTACAGTTATAGAGCAGAGCCCATAATCTGCTGCCATTGTTAAAAGATATTACCTCCATTGCTAATTGTTTGGTGTTTTCATTAGTTTTTCACAATGGGTTTTTAGCAATGGCCATTATTAAGTGTTTTTATTAAAAACTACTAATAGAAAATTGTAAATAATAAAAACTATACATCTAATAATAATAATAAAAAATATATATGTATGTGACACCACCGTTCTTTGCCAAGAAGCATGTGTGGCGACCCCATTCCCATCTTTTTGTCAAAAGTCGCATTAATACAAAAAGCGTTTCAACCACATCCCTCTAACTGTTACTAGCCTGATGGTGAATCTTCGACAAATATAATAAAGACATAAAGACATGTACCAAGCATTTAATATAACTTCGTACATACGGCTTCTTCTAGAACTCCAGTTTCATCTAAAACTACTCAATAGCGAATCTTTAAAAGTCCACGAAGTTATAAAAAGCTTCTAGTGGCAGAAGTGAAAATATAAAATCTTCATAATGTTATAGTTTCACGCCTCGGAATTGATTTTATATATGATTCATGAACTTTCTAATTTAAAATCAATTGACGTTATTTTGATTAGACCAAATCTTTAAAATATTAGATTATGTTTTATTTTAATTACGATGTAGGATATCGTAACAAAGAATCTTATAGGGGGATTATGGGCTAAACTCTTGAATGAAGTTGTTTAGATCGTTAAAAGAAGACCCTCCTTCTTCCACGGCGGCTTTAGCCATCTCCGCCATTTTCTTTGCCCGTGTGCGCCTCTCCTCCGCCTCTTCCCCAAGCAACACCTCTCTCACAGCCTTCTCTACTTTCTCTCTGCCAATTATGAAATCTTCCATAACTTTTACATGCTTTGTGGCTCCCACGCTCACTCCCGTCCTGAGCACTTGTGTAACCAACTTCTCGTTGTAGAATTGCTCCGCTCCAATCGGCCACGTCACCATCTGCAACCCTGCAGCCACTCCTTCAAGAAGCGAGTTCCAACCGCAATGGGTCACGAACCCTCCGGTTGCTTGGTGCTCAAGTATCAGCACCTGTGGAGCCCATCCTCTTATTATCATCCCTTTCCCTTTCGTCCTCTCCTCCATCCCTTCTGGTAACCATTCTTCTTTCTCATCTGCTCAAACCAAAACCCATTTTCAGACCAAAAACAGAGTTATTAACCCAACAAACACAATGATATGTTACATTTCCAAGCGTCCTCGATTTCAATACCTGTGTTTTTCCTAACAACCCAGATGAAATTTATACCAGAAGCTTCTAAACCCGCAGCGATCTCTATCAGCTGCTCGTTCTTGAAGGAAGCCACGCTCCCAAACGAAATGTAAATGACTGAATCTGGTTTCTTGGAGTCAAGCCATTTGAGGCACTCGGCCTCATCGATACTCGCTTTCTTTCCTCTCTCAGCCTTCTCCTCAAATCCTCTGTTTATAACAGAGAGGGGACCGATATGCCACGCTCTTTTCGCCACGAATCTCTTGTAAAAATCTGCGTAATCAGATTCAAGCTCGTAGAAGCTGTTCACAACAACACCTGAGCTCTTCACTTCTGATTCTCTCACCTCGATCATAAACTTCCCCATCCCGGATTCGTTGTCGCCGTCAATGATCTGTTCTTGAGTTATCACTATGTCCCCAGGGAGATCAGGGATCAGAAATGGCTCACAGCTCGAAGCTACTCTGTTCTGTGGTTTGTGAACTTTGATGCAATAACCAGCGCATAAAGAGAAGTAGCCAGTGCCGTGGAACACAAGTCTTGGCACATGGCACTTGTCAGCAGCTTCGGTAGCCCATGGGAAGAACATGTCGGCGATAAGACAGTCCGGCCTTGTTTTCTCGAGGAGTTTCTCAAGCTGGTCTTTGAAAAACCTTGTCGACAAAAAGAACTTTAAGGTTATGTACTCTCTGTCTTCATTGTTGTTTGCGGTGAAGAAATCGACGTTCTCGCATCCTTCTGGTAACCCGAGCTCCACGCAAGGGAAATCGAAGATGTGGATGTCGATTTCGAGACTCGGGTTCAGGTTCTTGAATAGGTCGATGGGCTTTTGGAGGATCTTGGAGTTGAGAGGTGTGGTGATGATTGTGGATTTGGCTCCTCTGGTAGAGAAAAGCTTAGCCATGTCTAGAGTTGGTATAATGTGGCCATAAGCCATGAAAGGGAAGAACATAACATGGAGCTTGTGACGAGGATCACTACTCATGTTTGTTTGGCGTTGGCTGAAAAGAAAACGAGATGTGCTCTATGAGATATTTGAGAAATGGGAAGAATCTGAAGCTCTCGTAGAATGAATTTTCCTTGTCGTGTTTAGTGGTTTTAGGAGTCTCCGCGTGATGACATATATATTATAGTTTCTATATACATCCACATGGCAGCTTGGACGATGGTGGACTCATTTTGGGGACCTGATGGTAATGGTTTCTGACGTCTTTGCATACGTCACTTGTTATGGTTTGATTGGTACTCCCTCTGTCAACTTGTCTCAGTTGTCGGAATCTAGTATCAGTTCTCAAAAATGCCCATTGGAACCAAAGTCTTCTAGAATCCATACAAAAAATGCAGACTTGGAAGTTGAAAGAAAGAAAACAAAAAATTAGTGTAGTTAAAAATTGAAATAGATCATTAATAAGACAATTTGTTAGAAAATCAACAAAAAGAATTGACAGAACATGATTTTTGAGAATTCGATCAAGAATAAAACTGATGCTATATTATGGATTCACTTAAATTGATATGTAAGTGTTAGAGATACTTTGATGCTAATTACATAAATTTTTGTAACTAAAAAGATTGTTAAAAACAAAAGTTTGCAAGTGATGGTGGTGTGTACTAATCTTAGTGGAATCATTCTGATTCGTGTTCTTCGTTTCAGCTCAAAGAAACAAAATTAGAAGACGGAAGTGATGATGGTGGGTCGTGTCGTGACGGCTCAAAGACTTCAAATACGATTTATATACTCTCAACTTTTTCACGTAACGAAACCATATATCATAATACTTCTAAAACACTTTCAAATCAAGCAAAACACGTGCGCTATTGAAACAACAGTAAAGAGAACATGAAAGCAATGGCTGTGATTCAAGAAAGTAACTCAAACAAGAACAATAACAAAGACATAGTTGCATAACTTACAATACATCTAACTTCCTTACTCCTTTTCATTTTGCAACTTAACCAACTTAATCTCTTCCATCAACCTATCCAACTCCAAATCCGAAGACCCTCCTTCTTTAACTGCGTCTTTCGCCATTTCCGCTAGCTCCTTCGCCCGTTTCCTCCTCTCTTCTCCAGCCATCACTTCTCTTACCGCTCTGTCCACTTTATCTCTGCTAATGAAATCTCCAACGACTCTCGACATCTTCTTCACTCCCACACTCACTCCTGTCTTCAACACTTGTGTTACCAATTTCTCGTTGTAGAACTGCTCGGCTCCCACGGGCCATGTAACCATCGGCAGGCCCGATGCTACTCCTTCTAGCAGCGAGTTCCATCCACAATGCGTCAAGAATCCTCCAATGGCTTGGTGGTCTAGTATCAGCACTTGCGGCGCCCACCCTCGTATTATCAATCCTTCTCCTTTCGTCTTCTCTTCGAACCCTTCTGGTAACCACTCTTCCTTCTCACCTGTTCACACAACACCAAACAACGTTTAAGATCCATCTATCAACCAAAGATTGCGTTTGTCTTACGTTACGTATAGTGTGTATGTTTTCCAAATGAAAACAAGCTTAATTCGGCGTCTAAAACGCAAACGCAACAAAACAGATTGACTATTATGTTGTAAATGATAGCTAGAGAGGTGTCTATGATACGTACCTTGGCTGCCATTTTTGCTAACCACCCATACAAAACCATGTCCTGACATTTCTAAACCAGCTGCAATCTCTATCAGCTGCTCGTTGGTGAAGCTCGACATGCTTCCAAAGGAGATGTAAATCACTGAATCAGGTTTCTTGGAATCGAGCCATTTCAAACATTCGTGCTCATCGATGCTCGCCTTTTTACCCCTCTCTGCTTTCTCCTTGAATTCTCTGTTGCCTAAAGAAAGCGGACCTATATCCCAAGCCCTTTGCGCCACGGAGATCTTGAAGAAATCGGAATAAGCAGGTTCAAGGTCGTAGAAGCTGTTCACCAACACACCAAAGCTGTTTCTCTCTGATTCTCTCATTCCCTTCATGAACTTCCCCATCACAGACTCTTCCTCTTTCTCTATGACCTGTTCCTCTGTAATCACAATGTCTCCTGGGAGATCAGGAATCACAAAAGGCTCACTACTGGAGGCTGCGTTCTTGTAAGGCTTGTGCAGCCTTAAGCAATGAGAAGCACATAAAGAGAAGTAGCCTGTGCCGTGGAACACAAGTCTCGGTACGTTATACTTCTCAGCGACTTCAGTCGCCCAAGGGAAGAACATGTTGGCGACGAGACAGTCTGGTCTGACTGTCTCGAGGAGCTGGTCTAGTTGCTCTTTGAAGTATGTCATTGAGAGTAAAAACTTAAGATTCAAGTCACCTTTGCTTAGGTCAGGGCTAGAGTAGATGAAATCGGTGTTCTCGCATCCTTCGGGCAAACCGAGCTCTGTGCAAGGGAAATCGAGGATCTGGATGGTGATGTCTTCGAGCTCCGGGTTCTGATGGTTGAATGATTTGATGGGTTTCTCGAAGAGGTTGGCGTTGAGGGGTGTAGTGAGGATCGTGGATTTAGCACCTTTGGTGGCGAAAAGCTTGGCCATGTCAAGAGTTGGGATCATGTGGCCGTGAGCCATGAAAGGGAAGAAGAAGAAATGGAGCTTAGAGATTTCGCCAGAAGTTACCATATTTGGCTGCTGAGAAAACAAGATCTGGGAGCCAAGTAGGAGCTTTTCAGTTCTCTTTTTTTTTTTTAATAATAATAAACTGTTGATTGGATGTTTGAGGATCAAGAGATATATAAATAGTTAAATGGGGTCTCTGGTGCTTGAAGCAGCCAATGCTTGGTTGATATGGAAACACGAACTCTTTAGGGTCATTAACTATTTAATTTTGACTTTTTGACTTTTTGACTTTTTGACTCGATAGACTTTTGATGAAATGAGAAAAATCAAATTGGAAAAAAAAAGCTCTTGACTGGGAGTTGAAACTCACGTCATGGCATTCGTCATGAAATAGAAAAATCAAATTAGAATCTTCCAAACGATAATTGCCGTCGACTTGGGCTTTTCCTGGATTAGCTACAATAAACCTGAGCTTAACCTTCCTGGGCCTAAACCGAAACCGTCCGGTTTAGGCATGTTTGACAATTTTACCCGGCACCATTTGATTGTTCCACTCCAGAAGAGGTTTTTAGTTTCAGAGATGTTTTTGGTTGGTTTCGTTGACAATCCTGCAAAATTGAATCATCCTCATGCCCGACGATAAAGAAGAATTGCAAGCACCCAACGAAGAAGAAGACTCCTACGTTTGGGACAACGATACTCAGCTCTACATCCATCACAGGCTACGTCTCTTTCCAAATCTATTTTCAATTATTATTATTTTTCCAGATTTTATAAATCGCCATTGTTTTGGTTAGATGTCTTCTTGTTAAAGCTTGAATCTTTTATACTGTTTGCTTGAGGAGCTTACATAATTTAAAATAAAAGACACTGCTCTGTATCTGCTGACTACAAGGAGTGATGACTAAAGCAGACATTTTTTTTGAGATTGATGCTTGTACTTCCATAGAACTAAGGACTCTCTCCTTGGCACATGCTGAATGCTTATTGATAAGTTTTTGGATGCTAACTTTGTTTTTGATTTGACGAATTGCAGTAGTGGGTTTTATCATGACCCAGTTGCTGGCTGGTACTATTGTAGCAAGGATGGTCATTACTACAAGCATGAAAATGGCGAGTATGTTCGCTTGGGATATGAAGAGTCTGGCGTGAACCTTCCTGCAGAAATTGCCACTTGTGAAGATGACTCTGCCACAAAAGGTTCTCCTGCTCAGACCGAGAATGGGTTATCAGTTTCAGAAAATGAACATCAAGTTTCATTGAATGAAGAAACTGCTTCAGGTATATATTTACGTGTAGAGTCAGGTGAAAATGTTGCATAACATCTATTATAAAGTAACTGATAGTCTGATAGACAATTCACTTTGCTCCAAAGAGCCAGCAGGTCGCTCAAATGACCAGGAACTTGAACGACCTTCCTCATGGTAGGTTCATATATTTCATTTTCATGGAAACTCATTTATTTTTCTTCATCATTATATGGTTTCTGAAACTCTTTTTTTCCTTTTGATCAGGTTGGAAGATACACTTATCGAACTTTATTTGGCTGGAAATGATCAACGGCCCAAATATTCAAGCTATGAGACACCTTCTGGGGCTAATAATCAGGATTACCAGATGTTGTCAGCTAATGGTCTTTGCCTGGGATAATGCTTATTAGTAGCCTATTATATTGCAAATTTTGGAATGAATCTGCTCTTGGGGTTTGGAAATTAAGGAGAGAAGCTACAAATTGTGTTTGTTATTCAGGAGACGATGATGCTGAGGAACTCGAAGAGGGAGAATGGATTCCTGAAGAAGATTTTGATCCACAGGAAGAGAACTTCGATGAAGGTGTTTGTTTTTCTTAAACTATGTTCTTGTCATCTGCTTTCACTCTGCCACCATATCATTTGAAATGATTAACTAGCCCGTAATGTTGTCTAAGGGAATCTTGTTACTTCAGCTCATATGCATAGTTTCATTTGTAGCTGCTCCTTCGAGGGAGGAAGAACTATGGCTGTCACAATATGGTCAAGTCATCGAATCCCGTGAGGAGACCCTGCCTGAGATCCCGTCTGTTGATTTGTGGGATTGGAAACTTGTTTGTGAATCCAGAAAAGCGGACAATGAAGAGGTGGCTAGGCTAGTAGGGAGGCTGGTTAAACGGTCCGCAAATCTTCACCCATCTGTGGCTTCTGGTGGCACGCTTTTCAAAACTGCACCAATCTGTGAAGCACGGCTTCACCTGGTCCGTGTTAGGACAGGTTTACCATTTTTCCTATTCACCGAGTAGTAATAAGTTCCTCTTAACAAGTAGCAGCTCTTGACGCACCAGAGATTGGTAACTTTATATGTGATTTGAACTCTCAAAATCTTGTGTTCCAGGTCAAGTCTATAGACTGCGGAATCCTAGTGCAAAATATCTTGCGTCCTTGTCAGTATATGACGCGTCTAACCCAACAAAAGATTGGGGATTCCCTGATATTTCAACAGCATGGCAAATACCTGATACAAAACGCAAAGCTAAGAAGGTGAGACCAAAACCCGACAGCAAACACACGGCGAAGCCACGAGATGAAGTCAACATGATTGAAGAGGTACGCCAGAAAACCACATTCATGAAATAATATGTTATCAGAGTGTTTGTGATTGTAAAGTGTTATTAGAGCCACAGTTAAGAAGCAAGTACTACATATTGATTCATGCTCGCGTTGTTTAGCAGCAGAGAAGCTCTTCTTCATACAGAGATAGAGCCGCGGAGAGAAGAAATCTGCATGGTGGATATGGTGTTGGACCAGGTCAAAAGGGAACAAAGGTGGAGGAGCATGATGATGATGATAGTGGTTGTGAAGAGGAGGACGCTACAGCGGATGAAGCATTGGAGTATACATTTGGATCTGGAAGTTACGCAAGGAGGATTATGGGAAACATGGGTTGGAAGGAGGTAACTTATTATGAATCTAAATCACTTTTTTGGATGTTATATGTGATATGAGATTTATTACTATTGGGGAAATGCAAATGCAGGGTGAGACGCTGGGGAAGAATACAAAAGGTTTGGTTGAACCGATACAAGCAGTGGGAAACACTGGGAATGTAGGGCTTGGCTTTCCTCAAAGGAGAAGGAAAGTATAATCTTTTTTTGAGCTAGGTACCCAGATTTTTCTCTTTATGCGAGTGGTCATTATTACTTGAGAATGAGGTTGCATTTATCTCTTTTAATTGTATTAATCCTAGAGATGGTTGAATATATAGTTTCCTCAGTTGCGTTGCTACATGCATGGTTTTTGACCTTTTTAAACCACATTCAAAATTTCTTGTAAGAGTTTATCAAATTTGGGATGTTATAAGAAAGTTGTGTTAATTATAATTGAGATTGAATTTTAACATGTTTCTAGATCAATTTATGCATTCACTATTTACATATATATAGGAAACTAATAAAGACAAAACTGGTATATTTATTTAAAATTTTGAAAAAGAAAAAAGGATACAAACTATTTACAACACTGCATTGAAAATTTAAATTAATTATAATTAAAAAAAACAACCAAATAAAAAACTATAAAGTTAGATACAATTATAGAAAAAGCTTTAACCTGAAATAATACAAAAAATAATAAAGTATACAATTACAAAATCCTAAAAAATGATGGTATGTATTTGTTGAAAAAGCTTGTTGAAAAAGTTTTAATCTGAAATTTTTTTAACCTGAAACAATACAAAAAAGCAGCACCAGATTTTATATTTAGGTTAGATTCAATTTTCATTTAGTGTTGTAATTATTATTATTATCATTTTTTCTTAATAAAAAATTGATGGATTTGCATTAGTTAGTGAAACAAATTGAACACAGGTAATTTCTAACGACGAAATAAATTTGGCTGGATACTATGTCTGGTTAGTTTCACAACTAATGCAAATCTAATCAATTTTAAACTAATCTATGTTTTAATGCGAATAAAAAAAAATAGAAAACATATCTTTTTCTTCAGTTTCTTTTTCCTGGCATCTTTTGCTTCATGAGTTTTGTTTTTGTGGAAATTTTTTTAATCTGAAACAATACAAAAAACAATAATTCACATTTCGGTTAGATTTAAGTTTTATTGAGTATTGTTATTATTATTATTATCAATTTGTTTCCTAAAAACCGATTTATCTACATTAGTTGTGAAAAAATTTTGAAAATAGACAATCTCCAACGATCAAATGAATTTAAATGGTTGGATGACATGTCCGGTTAGTTTCACATCTATTGTAAATCTAATCGATTTTAAACTAATCCAGTTCTAATGCAAATGAAAACGAAAGAAAAAAAAAAGAGGATAAAAAACTTATCTTTTTATCGAGTTTCTTTTTCTTGACATCTCTTCCTTCCTCATTATCATTTTGTAGAGAAAATTTTAACTTGAAACAATACAGAAAACATCACAAATTTCATATTTGGATTAGTTTCAAATTTCATTTAGCATTATTATTATTATCATTTTGTTACCTAATAAAAAAATCGATTTATCTACATTAGTTGTGAAAACAAATTGAACATAGATAATCTATAACGATCAAATGAATTCAAATGACTGGATACCATGTCCGGTTAGTTACACACATCTAATGTAAATCTATCGATTTTAAACTAATTCAGGTTTTTATACGGATAAAAAAAAAAAAAAAAAAAAGAAAAAAACTTATCTCTATTTTGGAGTTTTCTTCTCTCAGCGTCTGTTGATTCTTGAGTTTCATTGCATCAAACAGATTCTTCATTTCCCTGTGTTCTTGACACAAAGCACACCAATGCAAGCAACAAAGAACCATGCAATAATCACAAAGCGCATTCTGCAAGAAAGTCGCTATTCATCAATGAGAGATCATATCTGAAAGTATACAAAATCTGGTGTTGGATTTTACTTACTTTATATTTATAGTAAGTAAAAACATCTATATATGCCAATCAAGAAAAAACATCTATATATGCCAACCAAGAAAAAACATCCATATATTTATAGTTAGTTATGTTATTTTCAAATTTTAATATTTTTTGTTAGTTGTTTATAAATTTATAAGTACCTGATATTTGGATTCTTTTTTCTAATTTCAAAGAAATATATTTATGTAATGTAACAAACTCACATATATTTTATATATGTATTTTTAAAGTATCAAAATTTTTTTAATATATTTTAACTATTATATTTGTAATATACTTTTTAATATTGCAATTTTTTTTTAGAAACTATAGTAGTCTTAGAAAATGTATTATAAAATCTTGTTACATTATTTTTTATTATATATTTTTCTGTAGTATTTTTAAAAAATATCAAAATTTTATCATAATTATTTGTTTCTAACTTTTCAATAATAAATGTATACATTTATAAACTTTTTTGAAAGATTGCCTGTACATTTATTTTTTATTTTACATTTTTGCATGAATATAAATTTTTAATAATTTACAAATAGAAGATCTCATATTTATATCATATATTTATATTTTATATTTTCACACATATTTTTTAACACTCTTAAAAGTTGTGTATCTTATTATTTTTCAGTTTCTATTTTATTTTTCTATTAATAATTAGTAATAACTAATAAAAATCCTAGAAAATTTTGTAAAAATCTACATATTTTTTATCATAATTAGTTTGTATATTCTCATTTATAACTTATTGTTAATAATTAAAAAAAACATGAAAATACATTTTTCTTTTAATAATTATAAGTTGTTTTGAATGTTTATTTTTTAATATATATATTTTACTTATAATTATTTTAAATAAATTTTTGTTTACTCTTTAATAAACCGTAGATTAATGCTTGTAAATAAATTTTTGTTTACTTATAGGTCCTATTCCTAGGGCATATAATATGAATATTAAATTAGAAGAGAGGAAAACATTTATCTGGGCTTTGTGGGCTTTAGTTATCCGATTATCAAAACCTTACTCCGTTTCTTTAAAGGATCCAACAACACAGACCGACAGACGGTACGAAAATAGCCGTTGTAAAAAAATAGCCGTCATCAACGGTAAGAAAATAGCCGTCATCAACGGTAAGAAAATAGCCGTTGTAAAAAAATGCCACAAACAACACAGAAAAGCCCTGTTTCAAAAATCTTTTCTTCCTCTGCGTTTATCATTTCCAGTTACAATTTTTTTTTTTCCTCCTTTTGGTTTATTTGCTGTGTTTTCGTTAGTGCGTGAATCGAAAAGGCAGAAGTGAAGAACAAGGGCAATGTCGGCGCCAATCGCAACCAAGCCTTTGTCAAATTTGTAAGATTTCTTCTCCGATCAGATTGTTTGTTTCACTTTCCCCAATTTCTAAAAGAGAAATTGAAGATGCTCTCTGGTTGAAATCGAAGCCCTTAACCACACAAAAAACAATTGAAACTTTACAGTCGAATTCTCATTGAACTGTGTAGTATCTCGCCATGGATTCTGAAGCATTAAGCTGTGAAATCCATGGCTGATTCTTCTTGCTGCTATTCGCTCCCTTCATTATTCTCAGTTTTTCGTATTGTTTTGGCGAACTGTTAATTTGCTTTACAGGCTGACTTGAATCAGGCTATATCGATGGTTTCGTATTATGCTTCATCTTCAGAGCCCGCACAGATTCGAGGAAAGACTGTAATCGGCATGAGATAGTAAACAATCAGAGCCCTGGAGATGTCCCTGGAAATGTCCTGCTGGTTACCTTCGAGGGAGTGGAATCTCACGGAGTGAGCATCGATGTGATCCATCTGGTAAGTGCCTCAATATTATTTTACTTAGTGTAATGAATCCGAGTGTGAGCTTCTTTCGTTTGATTTGTTTTTGTCAATGTGGTAGAAACTGGTTAATGTTTGATAAAACTTGAGATTGATGCTTGTACATGGGTGAGGCAAGTGTGTTGTGCTTCGTGCAGATTTCAACTTTTTATATCAAGCAAGCTTCTTTGTGTAACTTTTACTTAGACATACTATTCCAATTACAATATACCAACATTAATGAAATATGCTCGAATCACAGATGTTGATGCCTCTTTATTAAAATCTTTCGGGAGAGAGTTTGGAAATAGTATCGTGTTCGTCATTCTCCCATCTATGGTCAGTGGACAGGTGTCACTCTGTACTTATCTGGGCTTCTCTTTTTAGTCTCAATCCGGGAACATCTTTTGAGTTTTCTGAGAAAAAATTCCAACAAAGCTCTTTCTGAGCAGCTTCTTCATCATCATTGCCTTCTTTTTCTTCTTTATAAAGACTCTCTCTCTCTCTCTCTCTCTCTCTCTCTCTCTCTCTCTCTCTCTCTCTCTCTGAAATTTGATGGCTTTACTCTCAGCATGTTGGCTGATGATCGAATCCATAGTGATTCAAGATGGTTTCTTGAAATGGTCCTACATGAAATTATACATGCACCCTCTTGTTCTCTTTCTTTTTCAACTCCTTCTATGGCTCTATCTCTTCTTTCTATGGCTTGTGCTACCTTTTCAATTAAGCGTTTTTCAACGCCTTCTTATCAGTCTTGGTCACGTCTTCTAAGTTATTTAGTAGTTTTCTCCAAGCCATTATGGTTAGGATTACAAGGGAGGTTACATGTACTACTGAGTCTAGGCAAAAGACCACGAATACACTTGTTGACTTGGAGTTTTCTAGAAGTATTCATAATCCGGTTCCTGCCTTCAACTTTTCGTTTAAGGATCAAGTAGATACTCAATCAAAAGCACTTCTAGCTCTGTAAGAAGGCCAAATTCTTGAAGTAGAAGATGATGATTTTATTTATAAATGTGATGAAGAAGATGTGGTTGATCAGATTCTTGATGCTAGAGAAGGCGAGGAGGACCAAGATATTGACATTTTTGATGTTGTGAACATGGAGAAGAGTTTTGAGTTTATGCCAATATTTCAAGAAAATAAAAATTCTTTAGTCAATGGTGACGAAGAAGGAGAAGAAGATATTGTAAACTCAAACGTGGAGAATAATGATCTACCTTCTCTAGTTGCTAGTGATGATATGAATTCACTCAATAGCGATGGAGATCATCCCTCTCCTTTATCTATCGCAAGCTTGGATTCAGCTCTTCAAGATTCGATTGCGATGGAAAATCAAACTCATCGAGATGAAAATGGTGAAACCAATGAGGTATACAAGAAATATTGCGAAAGGATGAGATGGTATTATGACATACTCAGCAGCGACAGAACCTATGGATTAAGTCTTTCATTTTATTTTACTTTGGTCGAAAACCAAACTAATCTCGAGATATGTAGAATAGTTTATCTATGTATCATTTAAATCATTTACAGTGGCCACAATTATGAAATGATTTAATTGTTTTTCAACTAGATATATCATCATTTCATTTATCTAACATCCATTTCTGTCATTCCTAGGTGTGATCATGAACCAAGAAACGGCAAGTAGTCTTAGCTTACGGGGAAAACGGCGGAGAAGAGGCTAAAACAAAGTATAGAGAAAGATCTTGAGCTAGTATATGTTGCTCAATCATGTTTATCATGGGAGGCTCTTCAGCATCAGTACATTACATTGAAAGAGAGTTTAAAATCCGATGATTCAAAAGGCGGGTTCTATAACGATAATATCTCTAAAGAACTTCAGAAGTTTCAGGTTTTATTAGAGAGATTCTTGGAAGATGAAAGGTGTGAAGGAAAAAGGGTCTTGAGCTTTGTTCAAAGAAGATTTGACCTCATACGCTTCTTTCAAGTCCCAAGACTTTCAGGTAACTAAGTCTAATTGGTTAATTTATCATAAACATTCACATCACATATATGAATACTATTAAGAACTTTGTATAAACTATATTACTTTTCTTGGTGGGTTACATCGTGTATAAATTGAGAGTTCATAGGATATAGTTTTGAATTACGTTGGTTGGAATCATAGGAACCATATTCTAATTTTATCTAATATATAATAACTAAATACTTATCGCGTTTTCTTGACTGAAATTGTCTAAAATCTCTATAAGATTCATGACTTAACTTCTTGAGTAAACATTTTAAAATTCCAGCACCTTTCCTATCGATTAGTTTTTAAGAAAAGATGTGAATAAATCAACCTTATAATTCGGAATTGTTAATTTACACTTTTAGAATAGTCAAGTTTCGGTTCTAACAGGTTACGTGTCAACAGAATCTTTTGACGTAAATTGGTGGTGAATTAGTCGCACAACTGACAAGAGCCAACCTGATCAATAATGTAATTTAATCAGTTATACTCTTACAAAATGGTCCAACACTAAAGGTTACCAAGCAAAAAATGTGCTTAAAGAAATTTCAAATTTAGAGACACTTATCCATTCTGAATCTACTGTTCGTATAAATTTGACATGATATTCTAGTTACATGTTATTTTCAACTAATTTATATAATCTCTTCTTTATCGTGTTATTTTACTAGGATATATTAGTAGAAAGGGACCTCGTATGGAAAATAATAATATTTAAAGACGCGTATAACTGACGCATATATATTTATGAAAAGTCAAAGTTACGGTCAGCGCCATACGTTACGCGTCTTGCTCTTGCAAGCAACTTCCGCGAAATTCAAAGTCATATTTATTTATTCTCTTATATTTAAACACGAATAACACCTTGAAATTTCTGAATCTCTTGATTTCTCTTTTTCTTCAAGCCCTAATCTCTCATAATTTCTTAAACAATCGAGTTTGTGATGATGTCGGGTATTCAAGGCCAGCTTCTCGAGGTCACTGGTTGGTGCCCTCTTCTTCTCTCTCTCTCTCACATCCCTAATTTTGTTTATGTATCTTCTTCGATTTACATGCTCTGATTCGATCTCAGAAAAAAGGTTAATTTAGTTTTTCACGGGATTCTTTGTGATTTCAGTTGTTGGGTGCCAGAAATTGAAAGACACGGAATGGATTTCAAGGCAAGATCCGTACGTTGTGGTTGAGTATAGCGGCACAAGGCACCGTACCAGAACCTGCAAAGGTTCTTTCTTTAGATCCAGAAGAATTTGCGGTCTTTCGATTCTTAGTCGCGTATGAATTGTTGATGGGTTTCTTTATTTTTTTAATTTCAGATGGTGGAAAAAGCGCTGTGTTCCAAGAGAAGTTTATGTTTACTTTGCTCGAAGGCCTTAGGGATCTTAAGGTAGCTGTCTGGAATAGCAACTCACTCTCCGCGGATGACTTCATTGGGAATGCAACGTATGTTTGCATTTTTCTTCTTTTTTTTGTGTGCTTTGAAATTTATCATTCGGATTTTGACATTGGGATTGAGACTCTCGCTGTGTGTTTGTTTGTTGTGATTAGGATTCAATTGCAGAAGGCTCTTTCTCAGGGATTCGACGACTGTACCTGGACTCTGCAGACTAAAACTGGGAGGTAACAACATTCCTTTCACCTACTTTTGTATCCTTTTGCACTCTGGGGTATCATGTTTGGTAAATTTATAGTTGCCATGGTGAACATTGGTCTTAGCTGATTTTGGTGTTTGATTTGCGCATTATCAACGGAACTTTTGATGTGGTTTTTTGTCTGTAGCATCTAGTGCTTGAATATATAGTTTCCTCATTCGCGTGCCTTATGCTTTCTACTTTATTTATCTTCTTATCATGGATGCATGGTTTTTTTCACTGAGCACAGTCGTTATGTGGAGTTTCTTGTCATCATTGGTGTTGATAGAACTGCAAACCGTTTGATTTCAAGGAAATTGCACTTCTTTTCATTGTTGATCTGTCAGCTACTTGTTCTTTTCAATCCTAATATAGTATGGAAAAACACATATGTTAAGAATCTTCAAATTGTTCTGTTTCTACATTTTCGGATATGTGGAGCTTATAATGTCTGTTGTTTGGTTACCTATGAAGAGAATGAACTTCCTTTTTAAAAAATTATAGTATCAAATTGTAATTTTCTTAAAAGCGGTCTCTCAGTACAGTAATACCATTTTTTGGAAAGTTTTTTTTGTTAATCCAAAGTTATGTGTTGCTCGTTGGAATTTCTGAAGACTCTTCTCTTCTTAAATTCCCCAAACGTCTGTTACTAGTTACTACAGTATGCAATGATTTTGGCAGCTTGTTCTAAGCAATTGTTCATCGTAAAAAGATGATTTATCTGATTATAAATCTTCTGAAAATGCATCACTTTTCTGTCTTGCAGATATGCCGGAGAAGTAAGACTCATACTGCATTACGCAGGAGCAAAGGTAAAGTCTAGACTGAATTAGCAACATTGAGTTACAGTTTCATTTTTGGTTACAAACAAATTTCTAAACATACAATCCAATTTCTTGTATGCAGAAGCATGATTACGGGTCTGCGCCATCAGCACCGTATGCACCTCAAGTACCTCACTACTCAGCAGCGCCTTCTCCATCTCCATATTCATCAGCACCATACTCTGGACCATCTCTATACCCACAAGGACCATACTCTCAGCCGCAATCAGCATACCCACCAGCTTCGGCTTATCCTCCTCAGCCATCGGCTTATCCTCCTCAGCCATCTGCCTACCCTCCTCCCTCAACCTCTGCTTACCCTCCGGCTCCTTCAGGTTACCCTCATCCTCCGCCATCTTCAGCGTACCCTCCTTCTCCATACCCTCCTCAACCATCACCATATTACCCACAAGGTACATAAGTTTTTCTTCTTTTTTTCTGTTCTGTGCTGTGATTGTTTGTGTTTATCTTTCGTAGACTATCTCTAACAAGATGTAGTTGTGGTTAATGTTTTATCTTCTTGTTTTCCAGGTCCATATCCAGGACAATTCCCGCCTCCTCCGTACTAAAGCTCCGGCGTTTAGGATTGACGGGAAGTGGTTATTATGATGTATAGATATTATTAGTGATGCTATTTTCTAGAATTTGGTGACGAATTTCTTTTGTTTTTTGTTCATTTTATATAAACATCTTCCCTGTGCGGTTGTTGGCCTTTGCAAATTGTAGCGTAATGGTTACTTTTTTTGCGGTGGTCAGTGAAACTCATTGAGAATATTGGATCTTTTCATATTTAGCCTGATTGCAGTTTCTTTTGCAAAAACTATTGAATCATTTTGTGTGTTCATCATCCTCGGTCAAAATTCCTTAAGAGCTTGTGTCGATTCTCTCTCTCACTCTTAAGATTTGGAACTATATGCGTTCACATCTTTACAGCCACGAATCATTGCACATCTCAGGTTCTAATCAGATAATTAGCAAAAGTAATTTGGTCAATGTCTATCTATCCCGATATTTTAACATTATATAATATTACATTGTTGACAATGGGCAAAAAAGTTGTAGAATTTAGTTAATTAGCCGACAGATTTTACTGCACTTTGGTTTCTCGATCTCTACTCCAATGAGTAAAAAAGTGGGTAAAGCGGGAAACAGAAAAAGAAATTACAAATAAAAATAAAAGGAAAAGGAGAACAGGAAAAGAAATAACACATTTAATATCATAAAAAAAGAATAAATATATTGCGCGAGTAAAAGACAAACGTGAAAACCATATCGCCTTCTCTCATAAATCAATCTCCTTCTTTTCGCTCTCCTTCCCACTTCCAGCTTTTCTCCTCTCTCTCTCTCTCTCTCTCTCTCTCTACCTCTACTCTACTTTCCCTCTCTCTCTCTAGTCTCTCTTTTGTAGCTTCCTGCTACAGCTTATCGCTGCACGTTTCCAAAGAGAGGAAGATGAGTCTCTCTCCGAGAGATTTTCTCTCTATCATCTTATCTTCTTCTGTGTAATGCTCTGAGCTAACCCAGCAACCAAAGAGAAAAACCAACAATATAGAAGAGAAGAGAAGATCTTTCTTCTCATTCTTGAGTTCATCCCACAATGGCGATTCGGAAGGAAGAAGAAAGCAGAGAAGAACAGAGCACTTCGTTTCTTCTTGATGCTCTCTACTGCGAAGAGGAGAAATGGGAAGACGAAGGAGAAGAATTAGAAGAAGTTGAAGAAAACTCTTCCTTTTCTCCTTCTTCTAATTCTCCATTCCTCCTTCTGCAGCAAGATTTGTTCTGGGAAGACGGAGATCTGGTCACTCTCTTCTCCAAAGAAGAAGAACAAGGACTCAGCTGTCTCGATGATGTTTATCTCTCCACGGATCGAAAAGAAGCTGTGGGTTGGATTCTGAGAGTCAACGCTCATTATGGGTTCTCCACTTTGGCAGCTGTTTTAGCCATAACTTATCTCGACAAGTTCGTCTGTAGCTACAGCCTACAGAGAGACAAACCATGGATGCTTCAGCTAGTTTCTGTTGCTTGCCTCTCTCTAGCTGCTAAAGTCGAAGAAACCCATGTCCCTCTTCTTCTCGACTTCCAAGTAAATGATACTTGAGAACATTTCTCCCTTAAAGTTCAGTTTTTTCTTGTCCCCCTGTTCTCATCTCTCTGTTTTTTTTTGGTGGGGTTTGAAGGTGGAGGAGACAAAGTATGTGTTTGAGGCTAAAACCATACAGAGAATGGAGTTACTGATTCTGTCAACTCTCCAATGGAAGATGCATCTCGTAACTCCAATTTCGTTTCTAGACCACATCGTCAGGAGATTGGGGCTTAAGAACAATGCTCACTGGGATTTCCTCAACAGCTGCCACCGTCTCCTCCTCTCTGTAATCTCCGGTTCGTAAACGACAAACAGAAAAACCCAAATTTTCGTTTATACTCTACTGAATCAGAGTAATCTTATGTTTTTTTCCTACATTGTTTGTTTTTTGTCAGATTCAAGATTTGTCGGCTACCTCCCATCAGTTGTCGCCGCAGCCACCATGATGCGAATCATAGAGCAAGTTGAGCCATTTGACCCTATTTTATACCAAAATAAGCTCCTCGGCATCCTTAACATAACCATGGTTGGTTTGCTTCTAACCTCTTTACTAGTAAAAATCCTGTTTCACTCAGGCTTTTCCTCAAACAGTTGTTGTGCATTTACAGGAAAAGGTGAAGGCTTGCTACGATCTGATCCTCCAGTTACCAGTGGATCGCATCGGTTTAAAGAACGAAACCCAATCTTTCCGGAAACGCAAGAGTCGCGATTCATCATCGTTGAGCAGCCCAAGCTGCGTCATTGATTCAAACCCTTTCAGTAGCGACGAAAGCTCAAACGATTCGTGGTCAGCGAGTTCGTACAATCAACCATCGTCACCGCAACAACCTCCGTTGAAGAAGATGAGAGGAGCTCAAGAGACGAAGAAGGAGAAGCCGATTTTGCATCTTCCATGGGCTATCGTAGCCACTCCGTAATCGAGCTTCTTGTCTTACGGGTTTTTTTTCCGTTTATATAAATTATTATTACGTCTTTAAACTTGAGAACAAGTACTTGTATTGAGTTTCCCCGTTGCATTTACGAAATGTCTCGAATGCCCTTACTTTGCCATTGCTTGTTACAGCGTATGTGAAGGGTATTCATGACATTTTACTGCATGGGATGGGATGAAGAGAATAGAAATAAATAGTCTTTGCCTAAATGTGTCTTTATTACGACTTATATAATTTACGGTGTTAAAACATAAATTCACAGACAGTTAAACATAAAAATGAAAGTGTTTTGGATGAATAAAACGTTAATTGAATTAGTGACGAAATTCAAATTTATATTATATTTATTTTACAAAATACTTCAAATTCGGAATTAAAACAGCCAGTTTACCTTTACACCGAGATGTTAGAAAATGTTTAATTTTAAGGATTTAGCGCCTTAGGCTTTGACTTAGTGAGAGGAGCCAAGGGTTGCTTTTTGGGTCCTTAAATATATATATATGTATATGCGCTTTCAAACGAGAAAGACTAATTATATTTTAAAAATGATAAGAACAAACCAAAAAATTGAAAACGCAACACTATTATTGCTTTAGATTTTCTTCTCAAGTCTTATCAAACCTGCTCTACGTGCGTTAGGCGCGTATCATCAAACCCAAACACATTAACGCAGTTAAATGACAATATGAAACATATAATTGATATCAGTTTTGCGTGAATTTAATGAAGTACTAAAAAAATCAAATTGTAAATATAAATTATGAAGGAATAATAATTAGCAACCAAGTCTTTAATTTGTTGAAAGAAAATAAATATAGAAACACAGACTTATTAAATCGTTTGACCAGTGGATAAATTTAAGAGAGACAAAAATACAGGCAAGAAACAGGAAAGTGCAGTACACGCGACATATAATCGAGTGGTGTTGGACGATAAAATCTGGTGCAGCAGTAACACCAGAACCAAAGCAACCTGCTTCCACTCTGAGCACCTGGGATGACGCCACGTGGCGAAAAACATTCATCGTAACTGTTCTACGCATACAAGAAAGTCGCTAACCAAAAATTATTTGTACAAACCATTAATATCGATTGAGGAAACTCTTTTTTCCCCTCAACAATCGAATAAAATTGTAGTTTTACGTCAGCCACATTGTAATGGACATCAGTTTTTGATGATATGGTATAACCCTTTTCGTGATACTACAAAAGGGAATTATCATAGTAGATGAGTAATTCCAGATTTTCATCAAAACTGATGTCCATTACAATGTGTGATATTATAAAGAAAAAAGATAATAGATTTTTGTATTACAAATTTTATTTTTTGTTTTATTTTTAAAAGTGCCGTCAAGCTTTAGGTGGTGAAATCTTCTCTACTTCTTTTTTTTTCACTTTTTCTTTTCCAATTTTTATTTTCGCTTTGAAACATTTTTTCTAGCCAAAAAAAAAGAGTATATTAATTAAAATCTCTACTTTTTTCACGTGTGACACGAATTTTCTCCTTTCTTGTTTTATCGTTCTTTTTCCTTTATTTTCTCCAATTCATCTCATTATTTAGAAAAACCGAATTGCTTTAGTAGTATGTCGTTTCTTAACGCTCAGCCACACGTCATCAAAACATGCCAGCTCCTCTCGTTTCGTTTATGTAACATATGGATTATATATCAAATTAAGCACATACTGTATAGTGTTGTATTACTTCTTAACATGTTAAACAAACACATGACTCTTTATTTAAAAATTTGTATATCGTATATAAACATAGAATCATACCCAAAAAAAAACCTAGAAAGTGCGCTGTTGTTTTTGACCAAATAAGCTAATTTATGCGAAGAGACAATGTTATACACATATTAATTTTATGTCAAAACTAATCTAATAAAGTATCATTAGTAAATTGAGAACCCTCAAATATTGGTTTTGAAAATTAATACTTGCGATATCTACCATTAGTTACCTATCGAGATTACATAAAATTAGAATCGAATACATGCATAACCATTATAGTAAAAGTCTTAAGATATTAATTTGAACATTTGGAGCAGGGCATGTATAATCAATGAAACGCGGGAAAGGATGTATGTGGAAATCGGGAGGTTTTCAAAATGGGAGACCAAAAAATCTTTGTGGTTATTCTTTTTCTGTATAAAAATTTAAATAGATAAATTGTTGTGGAGAATGTGGTTTCTGTCTTATTTTTGTCTCTTCTATTGGTCTTCTCCTCTTTAAGGTATGTTATCAATATCATGGTACCATACGCATCTCGTGAACCATATAATGACTTGCCATAAATTATGTTTTTCCGGAAAATAAAACGAATAGAAGAAATGAGAGATTATTTGTTATCTTCTTTATGTTTGTTTTTTTATTTTATATACAGTATTCTTCTCGATTGAATACTTCAAAACAGATGAGAATCTGTTCATTCATAGTCAGCTTTTAATGTGTTAATATCAATTTATAATTAGGTAGTAAAATCGGTGTTTCGTTGAAGAAAAAAATTCAGTTATCAAAATAAAACCAAATACGTATATTTGTATTGGTAAAAAAAAAAATAGTAAAAATATGGGGAAGGAAAACAGCTTGCACCCAACATGGGGAGAAAGGGCAAAGAGGTCAATGTGTCCCCACACAACAATAATTATAGAATAATATTATCATTCTCTAAGGCTTTGTTACCTTTATATCTTAAATATTTCTTCTTTTGACCTAGTCTCTTCCTTTTTACTCCCATTCTTCTTTTTCTTTTATTGTAACGGAAAGAATGTGGTTGTATGGTCAAAATGTTATATCAATTTTGTAATAGAATTGCATATCAGCATATGCTTCGCAATCTCTTAATCAAGAATAATTAATGGCTGGAATGATTCTTTTTGATTGAATCATAAACTAATTTTACCTTTACAATAACAAATGCGCAGACGTTTTTACTAGTCATGGGTTTGTTGACAAAAATCACATGCATTTAAAAATTAAGACATGATTAGCTCCGAAACAAGGAAGTGGGATGAAAAAGAAGTAAAAAAACAAAAAACAAAAAGTGACAAGAGCTGAATTCTCATATTTGTAGTCTATGATTCTGTCTCACAGCTGCAAAGTCTATGATGGTTAAAACAAAGTAATCATTGGTGCAATTCCGTGAAGGAAAAAAAACAATTTATTATAAACAAATAAACAAAATATACATTGTCTCATATGAACATATCAGTCCTGTGTATCACAGTCAGCATGGGATTAGCTAGAGTTGATCAGGTTTTGATTCCATATGCTTCAAAATGGATATTGACTAATTTTTTTACATCCAAAGGTATCATATGTCAGTATCAGACTGTTTGGAGTTTCAGTTAGCAAATTAGAAATATGTTTTCCACTTTTAGCTAAGTTTAATTTTTTACCAATATACTATATGTTGACCAAATTGTTTACTAAACTTTCAAACGATATCAGAACAGAACTATATATTTTGGTTCTGAATTTTGAAATCAGTCAAAAACTACATAAAAAATCTATATATATAGGATGCATGTACAGATCTGCTCTAATGATTGGTAATTAATTGAGCAATTATGGCAATAATGATCGCAAAATCAAAATGTAAAATATATATATGTGGGTATAAATGAAGTAGGACCAAACGAATATAAAAATGAAAATGAACAAAGAAGAGAGGGCATAGTGTGAGCTGCGATTGCAGAACCTGTCGCTGTGGCCCTCCTCTCCTTCAGACAAATCAGACTGCAGGTCCCAAACCCTTGTTCTATTTCGTGATTCACATTATTGTAAGCTTTTATCTCCACACTGCTTATCTATACATGCATATTTATACGACTAAATATTATCTATAACATATACAAGTTGCCTAACGTATCCGTACGTATGTAGATGTATGCATACAAGTTTGAGCCTTTTTAGACCATTTTCGATCAATTGACCCTATGAATGTAACATTTAATTTCTCGTTCAATTAACAATCTTATAGATAGCGAAGGTGTTTTTTTTTTTTTGTCTACATCAATAAAACTATGAATATTAACGATATATCTAAATGAGTATATGAGTATTGCCAGCTTACCGGTGTATCTTTACACCCGCATCTGAGATTTTGGAGTACTACCAACTTATCGGTGTATCTCCGATCTCCCTCTTCTTCTGTATGGAGAACACCATTAAACGATCAGTCTTCATGGCATTATGAACTAAAAATGTGATTCTTTCACTTTTGTTGGTTAAAGAACTAGCCCTCTTGCAAGTGCTTTGGGTTACTATCTATTATTGTAATCCCCTATATTATGTTTATATTGCTCAGTACTTTAATTATGTGTTAGTGTCGTCTGTTTGTAACTCAGATTCTTTAGCATGGAATCCTCATAACATCGGCTTAAGTTAATGAAAAAAATATTGGCCCAAAAAAAAAAAAAATTCACGATATACCTGTCTCAAAACTATATAATTTAATTGAGTGATCATACATATTTTTGGTGACAGGTATAGAACAAAACAATTTTTATAAATGTATACACAGCTTAGGTATAGATGAAAGGGTATTGACTATTGGTAGTATATTGTCGTATAAAAAGAGAAAATTAATGTGCAATGAAACATGTCCTGGTAGAAACATGCCCAACCCAATACTGCAACTGGTATCCAATGTGGTATTTGTGTATCCATGTAATTTCATTAGTGGTCACGATCTCATATATGAAGCCAAATCTAGTCTCACGTTTTCACAAAGAAACACCAAGAAGCATACAAAACATCTTTAAACATTTTCTCCCTTTTTTGCATGATTTTATCGATTGGAGCTACCAAACAAGTTTCGTTTGACAATAAATTATTTATAACGTAGCTACTCGTACGCAATCACTATGATAAATTATTTTCACATACACTCCCATGCATATAGAATATAGTGATCTACAATGAAAGAAAATGTAATACGTATATCGCTTTGACTTATCGATTTGTTTCCATCCACTAGAATAG